TGGTTTGGTGGGCCCCATGCCCGGGGACATGGCGGGGGGGGGGGGGGGCGGCGGTGAGGAACTGCATCTCAACCAGGTCCAAGGCAAGAGCCCCTCCTGGAAGCAGTTCCCCCCATCAGGGTTTTCCCCCACTGTGCCTGGGAGCCTCCTCTCAAGGTTACTATGGAGAAGGAGCCACCCTTGGCTAGTGGCTCTGAGCTGGCCCCAAGTCCAGCAGCCCAAGCTTCGTGACCTCCTGCAGATGCTCCCATAACCCTTACAGCAGAGCTCACCATCAGGCTTTCCCAAACAACTACCTCACAAAGGCTGCATTGTTACTCTTCCATGGCAGGAGAACAACAGACAAGAGATGACAGTCACATGCACCCATCAGTTTGGCTGAGCACAATTTTCCAGGCATTGATGGCTCTGTGGCCATATCAGAGTTAGTAAATGGACCATGCCTGCAGCACTTTGCTGGATCTACAGCTCTAGAGAAAACTTGAGTGAATGTTTTTCTGATTACATTTCTTGTCTGTATTTTTTCTCCTTACAGACGTGCACTACCATTTTTATGAAAAAGAAAAGTCAACTTGGCTCAAAACCAAAAATGTAAGGAGTTACATAGGAACTGCGAAATGTCTGGGCACATGCCGAAGTGGTACTACTTGGCAGCAGGAACTATCATGTATAAATGGGATTTTAAAAATGCCTAAAGAAAAGCTGCTGTGGCCCAGGCTCCTGTGGTCTAAATGCCCATAGTTTTCCAAGCAGTAAAATTTTACTCTTATCAGCTGTAATAAAGCAATGTTACAGAAATAGTGGATTTCCCATTACTGTCAGACTGAAGTGGATTAGGTGTTGGTATTATAAGTATCACTCTGACAGGAGCCTCATGGCTGCTGGCACCATGCCAACACAGCAAGACTTTATTGGCTCCCCAGGAGCATGTGCTCCCAGGACATTGCATGGCAAAACCAAGCATTCTCAAACAGGACTTGAGCAATTCTTTTCCTTGCATTTCATTTGTTTGACCAGCCATCTATTTTGCTTCTTTAAGATAACAGCATATTCAAAACACTTCAATGAAAGGTGTAAGAGCTGCATGCCTGGCTCACCCTAACTTTGCTGGGAAATGCACCTCATTGCTTACTCATAAAGCAGACCACAGACTAGGAAACTCCTGGTTAGAAAAGTAACAAGGTTAAACATAAAGGAACTTCCACTACAGAGTAAAACAGCAGCAGACAAAAATGATGAATCATTAAAACACTTTCCTTGTCCTCACTCACCTCCTTGTGGGATGCTGCTCCTGGTAGGTAAAAAGCTACCATCAGTCTCATGCCTCAGAGCTGCAGGTGGTTGCTAGGTGAAAATGCAGTTTTCAGATGTTACTATTCCACAGGCTGCAAATGATCTCTGCACAAGAGCTGCTCATTAAGTGGTACTCCATAAAGTTTCAAAGAGAGTCTGTTATGATGGAAGTCCTCCTCTCTTGATCTTTCTCCAACTCAGGCTTCTGAATTCTTATGAAGACTTAGGAGGAGATTTTAAGTGCTGCTCTGCATGAAACTGCTTCTGGTATTGTTTGGCTTATAACAACCAGTTGCCACCAGTGTATGCAGGAGATGGAGAATTAATCAGCAGAGACAGCAGGTGTTTTGAGCCCCTATTATTTTCTGTGGTCCCTGCAGGGACCATCAGAATACATGGCTATTTTATGCCAAGATCCAGTGAATGATAGCATCTAACAGATGCTTCATTCTTTGAGAACCTTAGCTGTAACAGACCAGAAGCATCTGGCATTCACTTTTGAACAGCAGATCAGAAAGTAGGAAACTCAAAGAATCCCACCCAGCTCATATGCCCAGTAATTCCTAATCAAGAACAAAGTGCATCTTCTGAGCACATTATGTGGGATGCATTAGCATGCACCTCAGTGACATCCTATTTAAAAAAATCATCAAGAAAGGAAGTTGTGAACCACATCTGGCTCACAGTAACACATTATCAAAATTCAACATTTGGTGAGTCTTTAATGCAACAAAAACTATTACTGAAAGGGAAAATCTTGTTCTAAAATAGTCAGGGAGCATGTGTGCGCCCCACATATCCTACTGGAACTCTGTTAACTCAAACTTCCCTGTCCAACTCAAAGATATATATATGCTTGATGACCATCAGTCTGACTTTAGCTTTTAAAATCAAGCTGAGAAATGCAACTCCATTTAAGAACCTGTCCTTCAGAACAAAGCAGACATGTCTGGTAAAATCCAAGAAGCTCTTAAAGAATAATTTGGTGGCAGCAGTACAGTCAGATCAGCTCTGTGGTAACTCCAGGTTCAGAAAATGTGAGAAAGATTAGCATCTGTGATCTGACTAGCTTCCAAAAGAAACTGTATCAGCAGCTAGTATTACATAAAATGTACCTACAATACTAGTTTCATACAGATCCCTTTATCAAAAAATAATATTTTCAGTACTGATTATACATCTGGAAATACATCTGGGGAAAATAAGACCATTATTGTGTAAAAAAACAAACTCACAACCTTTATTTGTCACAACACATTTCATGTACATGCAGAATGTATTCACATTTCTCTTTTAAGGCAAATAGGAATTGGGTTCTTACACCTGAGTTGCTTAGCACAAGTAGGAACAGCAAATAAAAACTTAGGAAGTGCAGTCTCTCCCTTTGGAGTAGCAGCTGCTTCCACTGTGAAGTATTTCTGCTTTCACCTTACAGTTCTTTTAATAATACCTACTGCCACTTGAAACCATTTCTGCAGAAATCAATCTCTTCACAGAAACTTCTTGACCAACTTGATGTTGCCTTTGCTGTTTGCTGGTGGCACAGCAGTACTTCTGTCTTTGCTAACATGCATGAAGGTCTTCAGTTACTTTAAGAGTTCTGTATTTCTTCACTACCGAGAAAAGCTAACAGTATTTTCTTATGTCTTTCTCATGTGTGCTGGCTGCTTCTCCAGTGCTAAGTTAAAATTAAAAGAGCGAAAAGTTCAGCTCAGCCAATGGAGGATTTTAGGGCTTGACTTTGTGGAACTAAGTGTTGGCCTTTAGCAAGAAAATGCAAAGCAGTTTTCGAATTTAAAAAATGCTCTCTCCAAGTCTGACTAACATTTGAGCTATCTGCATTATCTCCAGACTTTAGGCATTTGCTAGAATTTAGGATGCTGAAATCCATTTAAAATGTAGAGGCAGAATTTTCAAGTGAGAGACATTTTTCATTTCCCATTGACTTGGTCTATCAACACTAATTTCAATAGGCACTTTTCTTTCACGACTTTTAAGAAGACCACAGAATATGATTCTAAGAGAAAACATCTATTTGTGTAAAAAGTTAAAGTTTCTGTTCAACACAGAAACTAACCAAAACCAAGTAGCAAGTCCATAGCACAAAAGGGGGTATGACTCTTAAGTATGCCTTCCTCTGTGAGGAACCTGTAGCTTGGAAAAATATTTTGATTCCATTTACATTCTCTGCCTTTTTTTTCATGCATTCCTGAAACTGTAGTTTTTAATGACTTGTCAAATACATGAATTTAAGGTTTCTATTACTATTTAGGCTCTCTAGGTGTCCACCTCAGCTAAATCAACTCTCATCACAAACAATTTTTAAACAAATGCTAGTATTTATACGTGTTTAATTCAAACATTCATTGAAAGAAACAGAATAACTGTCTTTATTAAACTTACGGCTTATATTGGATATTATAGCAAAAAACCTCCAAAGTAATTTTTTCTTTGTTCCAGTTACTACCTGCTAAGATCAAATGTCTTCTTTCACAGTCATTTCACTCAGTAGTAACACACTACAGTGTGTACTACTACACTGGGAATAACCCACATCCAAACAGTCAATTGTGAAAATACTGCCTTTAAGAAAGACAAGCAATTTCACCCAGAAATTCTTCACAGAGGTTTGCCAGCTCTTTTTCCCACCTCTCAGAGACTTACAGTAAGAGGACAGCAAGAGGAACTCGGGAAGCATCTAAGTAATCTATCCCATCAGGAAGTTGACTTCTGCTAAGGTACCTCTCAACAAAAGGTCTGAAGGTTTTTCCTGGTAATGTAAGTTCAAAAGGGCAAAAAAAGGGAATAATTATTATTCTTCACCTGGTGAAAGCTTTGTACACTGTGAAAAAGAACAGCTTGCTGCAGGTATTCCCGATGAAGAGCTGCAGTGTGTCATTTTGGTCCTCGTTTCATTTTCTATAAAGTGACCTACATGCGGCTTTATTTTTAAAATCAGCACTGCTGACCATCTGAGATAATCAATACTAAGATGTTAGAGAGCTTACAAAATTTTAGGAAATCTGAAGAAATTCTTCCTGGAAATCCTTGATCCCATGTCTACTATACAAAGAAAATGTATTCAGAGAAAAATACGATACAGTGATTGTATAACCAGTGACTGTTCATCTATCAAGTTTGTGAAATCTTGTCCTGCTATGCTGGTTACTTTGAAAAAAATCTAGGACATCAACACTTCCACTCACATAGGACAGGGGATGCAGGCACTCATTTGGGCTGTGTCTCTGCTACCCACTGCAGTCCCTGAGGTAAAAGATGATTAGCCTTCCCAGGCATCTCAGCAAAGTGAAATATTCCAGAGGAAGTCACATGAATACTTCTTGCATTCAAGATAGTTCAGTGGCCTTGGAGGGCAGTCACAGCACATCAGACATACTGTGTTCTCAGCTTGCCTGGGGTGGTAACTTGTATTCTTCTGATCTCTGAGTTGAAGAATTAGTCCTGCTCTTTTGAGGATGGCACCAGGTTATTGCAGTCTGAGTCCTTTTGTGCAGATAGAAGAAGCTGTAGGCAGAAATAAGTTTCTCGATATTTTTGAAATGCTACTCCCAAAGGCACCAACTTCCACATGTAGAGTAAAGGACATTGCTCTTTCTTACAGTGCAGATGAAACAGATTACATAGAGCTTACTTACAAAATATTTTATACGCTTGAAATGTCACGAACATTTACAACTTTTCTGCCGTCCTCAGAGTTCTGAAAATACTCAGCCATACAATTACACTGCTGTCTCCTTTGAGTCCAATGTCTGTGGTGGCTTGAAGTTCAGTATCTCTCTGTATGTAATGCCTGCAAAACAAAAGAACAGACATAGCATTGCTGTGGTCTAATCAGAAAAGGAGCTGCACAAATAGGAATGAGAAAGGTGCAACTGCAGCACGGCTGGGCTCTGATCTAGCTCAGGAAGAGAGAGACCTCTTCAGGCAAAAAGAGAGGAAGAGTAGAGAAAGTAAGGGAATCAAGGATCACTTGTTCACTTTTTCAGATTTGAAAAAGTAGCCCAGTACTGAAATGGTATAGGTGCTTTCAAATGGATGCAAGCATTGACTTTTGAGTATAGTGGGCAATATCCTCAGCAACAGCTACTGAGCACATTAGATTTAAAAGTCAAGTCCTCACTTAAAAGCCAAACAACAAACCTCTCACCTTAGATGAAAACAAGTTTAGACTTAAATTTCTGCTGACACAGATATGTTTTTTCTCCTTCAGAGAATCTGACTCTAAGGGCACTGCAGTCCTGTAGAGCAACAGTCAATCTCTTCACCTGTCCTATCCACTGAAAGGTAAGTCACACAAGAGGTTTCTTTCCTATGTTGCAGAAGATGGGAGGACAGAAACATTAGGGAAATGGAGAACAGACTCTGTTAGGAAGCAGAGAAGAAACCTTTGGATATCCTTCCACAAGAAATTGCTAAGAGCTGATAAGAACCCTGGTTTATCAGTAGTATTAATGCTATTTATTTACTCTGCTTGATCAAAAGCAGGAGTTAATTTGTAAAGGGAAACGTTTTTATTTCCGCATGGCCTTTCAAACTGGTTATTTTTGAAAACATCAAAACATTAAACTCACGTTTCCACTCATCCAGTGGAAGATCCATGTTATCAAATGTGTCGTCGTATTTCTCAGCTTCAATTTCTTCCTCAGGATCGTGAACTGGTTCAAAATAAGGATGCATCAAAGCCTCAGCTGCCGTGACTCGCTTCTCTGCATCCAGCACTAGCATCTTCTCCAAGAGGTTTACAGCTATTGCACAGAAAACCAACAGTGTATTCAAGTCACACACCCAATTCCACTTGTACACAGTAATACTGCCCTTGGAGGTATTTCAAATAAATACATGGAGTAATAGAACAGAATCATTGGGTGTCCATCTATAGCCAGTGGGGCCTCTTTGCATGACTACTGTGAGCAAGCTGTCAAGTGTACAAAGCCTGATGCAATGCAGAGGTGCTCCCTTGCTTCTGTATGCAATACAAAAAACATCTCAGCTAATGACTTCTCAATTTCTGGCTCCAGGACCACTGTGCCTGGGGCTTTCCCAGATGTCTTTAATCACTGCCACTCATTGTGGTTCTAAGGTACATAACCGCCTGACAGCAGCTGAATGAACAGGTGAACACCAAATGAGAACTGTGCTCTGTCACCAAATCCAAACCAAGTACACTCTGAAGTTCACTGAGACAGGTCAGAATCTCAGAGCTAACCTTATCTGCTATGTGGTTTTGACCTCAGCCAAAACAACCCATTAAAATTTTGCATGTTCCCCTTCTGTGGATTTTGGATTCGGTCCACTGCTACTGTCAAGGTGGACAAGCGTAAACAGGTATGATGAATGATTTATTTTCTGTTTTTCTTTCCCAAAAGGATGTTCTTGGGTTTGGAGCGGCTGAAGGGAAGTAGAGACAGAAGTGTGGGATAGGATGCTTCAACTCCTGCTTGCCATGTTGTATATTCTCTTAAAACTCCTATTCCAGACCAGAAGCAGCCAGATGGCCACAGAAATAGTAAGAACAGACATCGTAAAAACTAAATGGAAAGCGTAGCTTGCTGTAGCTACCCATCAGTTAACCATGCAGTAAGGTTAAGAGCTGTTCATCAATCAGATTTATTCGTACTGTATCTGAACCTAAAATTTTAACTCCTTCAATTGAGAAAATTCAATTATCCTAATTACTATTCTAATAAAATTGGCTTTGTTAGTGTTTAGGTCCTTGGGGAATTTATAAAGCTTAGGGAGAGTAATTTCATAGCTCTGGCTGCCTCAGGTCATGTCACAATTATGCACACTAGGTATGCTCTTCTGGCTGTTAATATCTATGGAATCCAAGCCAGTGTTTCTCAGGAATGCACAGATGTTTCTCAGGACGTATTAATTCCATTAGTAAAATGTCAGCTTTCCATTTTCTTGTATTTCAACTGCAGATCAGATTGGGCTTTCAGAATTACAGTTCAAATACAGTACAGAGAAAATTTTATTACATATACCTAATCTACCAGGGCTCTTGAGAAAACTAAAACCAATAAGTAGGTGCTAGACAGAAACCTAAAACACTAATTTTTTTCATGCTTCTAAGAAACAACTGATTTCTGGCAGGGTTTAAACTCAGCAAAGCTCAGCTGCTACAATCAAACTTATGAATTATGGAAAGCAAGAGAAAGAACAGCCCAAGAACCATCACATCACCTGTCATGACTGATACTGCAGCTGCTTCCAGTGCAAGCACAAGAACAAGCTGTACACATCCACACAAACAGCCTTACCCAAAGGATTCGCATACTTCAAGACGGATGCAAAATCTTTCTTCTGGACTTTTGGGAGGCTTTTGATATAGTTTTTTGCCTTAAAAGAAACATGGGTATTAAATTAGATCTTTGCAACCTTTGTAATGTGACAACATTAACTATTTGTTTAATATTTTTCTCAACAATATTTTGACAGCACATTGTAAAAATGCATTTTTTCTGTTGATATTAACCTTCTTCCTGAACGGAATCTTTTTTTAGTCAAGCTTTAAAACCACAATTTAGAAATTATAATGCAAAGCTTTAATTACTAGTGCTCTGTATTTAATATATTTATTCAAATAAATATGTATGAATTATTTGAAATAGCATCATAGTGAATTTACAGCAATCTCTGGAAGTGAACCTTATATAGTGATTTCTTTGTATTTAAATTGTACAGTTAGTCTAATGAATAAATTTAGGTTCTTTATAGTAAGGGCCTCAGGATTCTAGAACAACATCAACACAAGGATAGGAAAGGGACATTTGCAAACAACTGGGTTTTCTGAATATCTTCCCGTTTTCAGTACCTTTACAATAAAAGTTTCCATGTATCAGCTCAGCTGTTTATATGGTATACACTGGAATACTGAAATATTTAATGTTCTGCTAATTTTCTGTCATTCTAGCCCCCATCTCCAGTAGCTATTGTGGGTGCACAAATCATATCAAGACAAAGAAAGAGCATCAGGGCCGTTTCAGTAGTCAATACACATTATCTCAGCCTGTCAAAGAACTGAGTATGCCTTAAAGGAAAATTATGACATGGAAAATCAACTGACAAATCAGAATACTTACATCTTGACTGTGCAATTTTTGAACAAAATCTTGAGTTGGTGTACCTGTTATTTTCATTATTTCTGTGAGTTGGTCCAGATCTGAATACCAGAAATAAGGAACAAATTCTTTCACTATTAGGAAACTAAGCATCCTGCAAAAGTAATGCATTTCTTTGCTGTTGGAGAATAATGTAAAACTCTTAATTTAATGTCTGAACAGAAGACTTATAGAAGATGAAAGTTCTCAATTTTTCTTAGAAAAGGCAAAGAAAATATCCTATAATTTGGGAACACATAATTGAATCATCCACAAAGTTTTCTAATATTATCAGACCTGTTCTGCATTGTTTGGACAAAAATCAGTCCAAAAGTATTACAGTATCTAAACAATCAATACATATATTGCACGTACTAGGAAAAAAAAAATAAAAGGCTTTTCTACTATCACAAAGCCTTTTCCTTGATGATTTGAGGTGTAATTCAAAGACAACTTCTACCGAAAAAAATCACTAATACAAGTTTTAATTGGCAGGTATGCAAAAAGTGGCACAGATATGAAATAATGATTTAACGAGAAAGCTGCAAGCAATTTTACTATTAATTTTGATTTATACTCATCAGTTTTTGAAAAGACTTACTGTATCACATAACCTCTCAATTTTGTCGCATCAGTATCATAAATTCACTGAAGGATACGATCATTTCCCTTGAACAGAGGTCTCCCTGTAATCATCTCAGCCATTATACAGCCCACAGACCAGATGTCAACTGAGAAAAAGACCAAGAGGCAAATTAACTTGTCTGTTTAAGTGTGCATAAAGTTTAATTTAAAACATTTTAAATAAATATAAAAATTACCTTTATAGCCTGTTATAAAATAAATGTGTACCTTGCCAAGTATGATGAACAACACAGGTAAAACCAACAGACTTTTTAATGAGCAAACTGGAGATGATCTCGTGATGTGCAGAATGAGTTTCTCAGTAACAGGCTCATAGGAAGTAAATTTTCAATGCTTTCAAAAACTTCTATGGTTATCTTAGTGTTATTTGAATTCCCTCCATTTGCCATTTTCCCCTGCCTGTTCAAATTAAAATCAGCACACCTTTACAGAAACACAAGAACAGAGGCCTGACTGTCATGTCTGTATAATTAAAATATTTTTTTTCTAATCACCTTGGCACTTCCTGTTACTCTCAGAAAACATATATAAAAAAAACCCAAACTCACCACCACATGATTACCTGCAATTTATCTACAAGGAAATGTTGCATAATTATACTGTCATTTCTACCTCCAATTTCTTATTAATTTCAGGAACAAAGTCTTGGTGCACTGTATCATCTGATTCACTGAATGCTTTAGCTCTGTTAAGATACTTCTGAAGGAACACTGACCTGTCTGAGTATAATGCATCCAGTTAAGTATGACCTCTGGGGCTCTATACCACCTTGTAACCACATAGCCGGTCATCTCACTGTCTGTATGTCTTGCCAATCCAAAATCCAGGATCTGTAGTGGAAGCACAAGGCACATTCAGATCAGACAGCTTGTTATCTAGTTCATCCAGTTCTTTACAACTGTAGGGGAAAAAACCAAAACTGGAGCAAGCTGCAGAGATTAGTTTATTTTTGTATCTTTTTCTCATTGAAATGTCTTGTTCTCATTTTAAAAATCAAGACAGAGGTAGCACAGATAATTGAATAACGTCTTTTCCAGTTACATACTTCTACGGTACCATCAAAAGCTGTAAGACCAGTAAAGAAAACAAATTATTCACTTTTTAATTAAAAATATTTACTTTTACACGTTTAATGCAAAAAATTTCCTGACCACAGAATCACCATTGTATCAAGTTACAGCTAAAAGAACAGCACCCACTTCAGACAGTGTCCATTGCTCTCACATCCCAGATGGCACAACTATTCAAGAGTGTGTTCCAACAATACAAGAAGGTATTGTTATTTCTACTTTATGAGTAACTCAAAGTAGAAATAACTACAAGACTTTCACTAGGTCACACTGAAAACTGGGAGCAAGAGTAGGGATTTACCATCATTTAGTCCCATCAAGTCTTCTCCAACCTCCAGCATCAACTACAGAAAAACCTTTTGTATGAAATGCAAGATCCATGCAATTTTTTTGAAGCGCTATGCACAACTCAGTGTATTGCTAAGATTCTCTAGATTATCTAGATATTTCTGTCTAGATATAGCAATGTGTACAGCAGCAAGATTAAAAATTAATGTTATAGCCTTTTGTCAATTTCTATAAAATTTGCCTTAAGAAGGCCCATCTGTATATCAAAAGATGCAGACAACAGCGAGAAAATTCCACTCCTGGAACGACAATCAGTTTGTATTTATTGGAAAGTTCATGCTTCTATCAAGAAATGGGAGGTGTGGGTAAGTCAAGTTCTATTGAAGATAAATCATGGTCACACACACAACTAAATATGAAGCTTTGCATGAACAGCCAGTTTGTCATGTGAATCCAGCTTCATATGTTTATTGATAGGGCAGGGGTTTTAATAGGGACACCTGAGCATTCCTAAACCAAGACTCATGTTTTTGTAATGCACTCTGCAATTAAGCATTCTAAAGCACTTCAGGATAGTTTCATCATTCCCTGGCAAAAACGATGCCTTAACAAAAAGGAAAATTATATTTTCATTCACAAATCAAGACTACAAAATATTATGGCTTATCTTTATTGCCATACTGGAAATATAATTTCCATGTTTTCCCTATAACTGCTGATTACCAATCAATTTAAAAACAGGAATAGAATGCAAGGGAGACATTTTTTTTATTCATACCAATTAAATGCACTTGATTGTGGCTGATTCTTTGGGCACTGAAGATTTACTAGACTCAAAATTTTTGTAGTGGCGAAGTACACCTTTATGGCTTTTATTGTACATATTCAGCACACAATCTATTTTCCCAGTAAGACAGCAGGAAGAGTGGAAGAAAAAGAAAAAAAATTATATAACAGGTCAAAGCCAGAAGTGATACAGTCTGTTCTGTCACATTATTTTAGGCATTTTATCTACCAAGGCTTCTGACACAGAGTTGAAAACAAAAATATAATTTGGTTTTGTAGATCTGTAGAAGTAGAAAATCGCAGAAAGAGTTCTTGTCTATTATGCTTTAACTTCATTACTTATTTTCATTTACATTTCATTAAGCTCAAGAACAAGTGTATCCTGTTTGTACTTAATATTAACATGGTACCATTTCAACAACTATCTTCATATAAAACTTTTGTATGTCTCACACAACTTCAACTTTTCAGCTGGAACTTCCACAGCAATTTTCAGAACACATTTGAAAATCCTTTTCATAATTTGTGAATTATGAAAGAATGACCCAATTTTCCCCAGCTCCTCAAGGATAGGTCTCCCTTGACTCAGCAAACTTAATTTTCCTAAATTGCTTCAGTAACTAACGAAAGTAACTTTAAGACTACAGAAAGGGCGGTGACTTCCCCTCATACACCCTTTACTGTCACTTTTCTGATACTTACGTAGGAGTTGAGAGCATCAGATGAGGGAAAAATGAGCATCAGAAAGCTCATTGTGAAAAAAATGATAGCTAATTAATTACCAATTCAAGGAATTGTTCCAACTTGCTTACAGTCTCATCATCTGGAGCTGCTGCAAGGGAAGCTGCTGACTGCACAGACATAGGGGAAATGGTTGCACTATCCCTGGCAATGTGATCCTGCGCCTGCATAAACTGACTTTGAGAGTGTGCAAAAAAAAAAAGTGTTAAGTAGATACAGATCAGGAGACACCTGGCCTGCATCTCAAAATATAATTGTACAGCTGGTGGTGTGGGGGAAGACAACCATATAGAACTGTTTTTTCTAGACTCTCTTCTCTTTTCCCATCACCCTGGGATCCACTCACCATTTGTCCACCTACAAGCCAGGAAAAGTCAATGGCTTTTCGTGTTACATAGGAAAGCTAAAATCACAGGACCCTGGAACATTCAGGTCCGTATCCAAAGATCAAAATTTGTATTACAATGGCTACATTCAAGTATATAGTTTGCATGTTGCATGCTAAAAAACACTTCTGTAGTGCTTTGCATCACCTTTTATTTTATTCAATTTAGTGTGTCCTTCATTACCTTTGATCTCCTGTATCTCCCAGCTTATAGAATTAGACTTTTTCTATTTATTCAAAGCTGAAATTCTCACATAACTGAATCACTCCCATAAACTCTTATGTCTCTTTTACAGATGAAACCTTGGCCATAAGATCTGATGTGTCCTTACACATCAGGACACAAAAAACCCCATTCAAATTCCGTGTTGTTTTGTGAGAACATACAGGCCAATTGTGATTCAAGGGCAAAAAGCCTGGCCCAACACTGAAACCAGCCAGCACAGTATGTCCACAGCTGCTGCACCTGCTGTCTTCTGTCTTCTAACCCATCTGCTTTTTCACACAAACATACCTTACCTTCAATTCACAGTCTTCATTTACTGCCAAGTTTCCAGGCTTTAGATCCTGCAATCAGATTTTAAATGAATGGGTTTTTTTTTTATTATTTTACTGCAAGACAATAAAATACACTTTTTTGCTTTCTGTCTTTCTTTCTAGTTTGATAGTTTTTATGTAACTATTTTGAACAGCAACAGGTAAAATGATGTCATAATAAATAACAAAATCAAGGATGCAAACTTGCATATATTTGGCTTTTTTCCAGTATATTTTCCCCCCAAGAAAAATTAATTATTTTTTTTTCTGCTAGAAGTCAGGAAAATACTTGCCAGTGAAGGAATTCACTAAATTTTCTACGACAGGGGTTTGGACATAAATTTGTTGCATTTAATACTAACACCACAAGGTTAACAATTCACATATATAGTTCTGGACTGTACATGTTGCATATCAAAATAGGCATTATAAAGGTTGCTTACTCTGACAGACTTAGAAGGAGTACTGAAGGAATCAAACAAGATTTTATATAAAACCCTATGCTTTCTTCTGTGGAAAATCAATTTCCTAAGAAAATCAATACAGCTGCAAAATGAAAAAGGTATTTCCTTAAGTTTCTTAAGCCACCTTAGAGATTTCTAATCTTCCACAGCTGTAAAGTTTAGCAAAGGGAAGACTGTTGGCAAAGACTAGGATGATATTGCAATATCAGTGACTCAGACATACATAATTAGACATACATTTTCCTTCACATTTTTCAAACCTTTGTTTGATACACTTTAGCACAAAATCTTTAGAAGTACCTTCTTTCTGAACTTTTTAACAGGGATCCACCTGTTTTATACAGAGTTTTTTTAAGATCAGAGGAGCCTTGGGGAGAAACAATTTGGTGCAAAAAGCCATAATGTAACCAAGAAGCTTAAGGGTCATCAAGAGAGACCTTAGAAGAAATCTAAGCAATGGTAAGTTTAGACCATGATCCCAGCAGTTGCAAAAGTAAAAACATCTTACATTATTTTGTCAGTTTGTGTAGTTGCCATGTCCAGCTTAAATCTACTATACAATGTACATTTTCTATGGTTCTCCTGATACTTTATTAAAAATGGACAATTTCTACTGTTCTAATGCAGTTTTGGGGGAAGATATGCTGCTTAGTACCACAAAGGCATCATTCAGGACTCCTTCTTCACAGTGCAGAAGTGATTTTAAGTGAACTTTATACAGAGAAGGGAATCAAAAAGAAACAAATGCTTAATTTCTCTCAGAAAAAAATGTAAGTTCTTAAGTCTCTATAATTTTGGACAATTTTTTTCCATTTCTATTGTTCCTCCAAAACTCTGAACATTAATAAGAGGTTTAAAGAAAAACACTGTTTTTAAAAGTTTAATCTTCATTAAAAAAAAAAAAAAAAACAAAAAATCTTCAAACAACAACAACAAAAAAAACCCAGAAAAAACTCTTATCCATCTCAATTTAGACACTATTTGTTCTTGTGGAGACTTACAACTCAACCTTACAAAGAAAACTAGGAACTCCAAATATAAGCTGTATTCAGTGCAACTTGAGTGGACAGCTTACACTGACATAGCCATGCCAATTTTTGCTCCCATTGAAGAAGAAATCAAAGGCACCAACTGAGAAAACCTATGAACAGAATTTCAGGCATATTTATAAGTATGCTTTAACACAAACATCACTCATATTAACAAAATATAAATATCTTTCATGTTTTTCCACTTACCCTGTGAATTATGCCTGATGAGTGGATATACTGTAAAAAGAGAAAGTATTTTTTAGTTGAGGTTCTGAATTTAAAAGTTGCTTGGGGTAGAAGAAAAATAGTTTTTCACAGAAATTAGAAAATTAGAAAATTAGAAATTAGAAAAAACTTATTGCACAGAAGATCCCTTTAGCTATGGTTTTAATGTACAGATAATTATACTAGTATTTTGTCCTTTCCCTCCCCTAATAATGAGAAACCACTAAATCAGTTTGAGTATGATATTTATTTATCAGAATGAAACATGCTATTTTATGTATCAGAAATGCTCTCCTGCAATAGGGGTCTCTGGTGTGCCATCATAGTTTAGATTCATACGCTTCAGCAGCACTGGCTTTCAAGAGACCATTAACACTGGGATGAAGGCCAGTCAAGGTCTTATCTCACAATTCTTGCTACATGCTTCAGTATTTCCTCAATGGAAAGTCAAGTTCAAAGACATTCTCTTTATTTGAATATTTACATCACCCATTCAGTGACCTATTTAAGGGCTCAAAAAAGCCAAACCAACAAACTGAACACCCAGGACTAGTTCTTTTGGGATGACACCTGATAAAATACAGATATTTGGACCCATGACTCACCAAATGCTCCTCACTGAGGTATGCAGTTTCTCTCACCAGCTGAATGAATGAAACCCTAGGAGAGACTATTTTCGTCACAGTCAAAAAGGAACTTCCAGTAACTAACAGTTCAGATCTATGCATGTCTTGCAAGGATCGAAATGCAGAAAGTTGTTCTGAATTGAGGACATGGTTTCTAAGAGCAGCCTGGGATGTGCTAGTCCCTTCAGGTGTGGGGAACTGATCTGAAACTCCCACAGACCATACTAGTGATGCTAAGAAACACGAGAACAATAAAGCTTTTAAACAAAAACACTTGAGAAAAGATGAATAGAATGCAAATCCTCCAGCTTCACCTGAAGAACTCATTTTACTCCATCCTGAAGAATAGGACAAGTGGCAACAGAGTCACTGGGAACTAGCTGGCAGAGCCAGAGAAGACCAACCAGGAATAGTCAGCATAAGGTCAGAGAAATGCACAGTAGAAAGGAGCTTTGCATGATAATTGCAAATCAGCCACAGTGATGACCACCTTCCCCAGCAGCCCTCAGGATGCACCATTAACCTCACAAATGCAACCATCCCTCTGCAAAGGGGTCCTCATAATCCAACTGATGAGAAGCTCCAAGACAAAGAAAGCAAAGCTACAGAAAAAAAAACAACTTCTTCAGACAGAACCAAAGTGCCTTTCAGACTTAGATTTCTGAACTTAAAACAAAACCCACACAACCTAAGCAGCACAAGATCTGCATTTAAGGTGCCAAGTTTCTAAAGCAGTGACTGAAAAATTCTCTGACGGTTCTCTCTTACACCTGACTGGCCACACCAGATGTGGTCTCAAAGGTTCTGAAAAGAGAGAGGGGAGAAAAAGCCCTCAATTCCTTTAACCCTGTGCCTACAACTTTACCAGTCCAGCCCAGGCTGTGGTAGAGCCCTGCTGCTGCACAGTCACACTACTGACTGCTGTGCCAGAGCCCAGGCCTGTCTTGGCATCTGCAGTAGATCCTGCTGCAGCTTACTTGCAGATTGGGAAAGGTTTAACATCACCCATAGGAAATACCAAAGCCCTGCACAGGATTTCCTGGGGCTGACACAAGACATTGAGGGCACATGGCTGCTTCACAGAATGTTGGCTGTAAAACCACTACAGCAAACAAAAAACTAGAAAATGTTCTGTCATGGATGTGCACGAAGTGAGCTGGGATGGGAGGAGGAGGAAGTTTGTCAATTGTATGTGAAGACCATATGTACTTTAGGAAAAAAAAACAAACCCAAGCCAGAAATGTAACTGTAAATAGCTAAACTTCCAATAAATTTAGAAGAATATGTCCTCTATCATAGCTGTCTTGATCAAGGATATCACAGTGTCTACTTGCATTCTAAATTATTGCGGTATCTTCTAACTGAAGCCTCTTGATTTTTCAGAACAGATGCTTAAAATATTCTATAGTCAGTTTTTGCTGCTAAGATTGTACACAGAAAAGAAATAGTTGGCAGACCCAGTCATTTGGCACTTCAGAATGTGGAATGTAGAAACAGGAATTAAAAGGTCTGCATCCTTCACAGTTTCAGTTTAAGTAAATCTCACCTGTCTGGGGACAAGAGTATGGTTTTGCTGGCATTCTCACCCCACTGAAGGTTTTATGAGCGCTCACAGCACCAAAATCATGTTAATACTTTGGGGAAAGCTCTATGTTTTCTTAATGCTCCTCTTAACATAACACTGCTGAGGTTATGTGAAACAGCAGTTATTCCTGATGGTAATGCACACATCAGCCTTTCTGTAAGATGAAGTACTGGGGCTGCGCTGCAGTGTTCCTTTAACAATAGCAGTATTTTTTTTAACTTTATTTCATAATCTCCTGGCAGGTAGCAATACTGGAACTATGCCAGTCTTCATTCAGAAAGTTTTCCATTTCTGTTCAATAGTCTTCTGAAATGGGATCCTGTTCTTACTTGTTCTACTCATTAAATTATCCATCTATTGACAGATTCTTCATTCTCAACATGGCAAAACAATTCACAACAGAGTAGGCATATCCTTCACAGTGTTTTCACCACTTCACCTGAACCATATTTGATTCAAGAACCCAGTTAACACAACTGAAGTGCCTTGGAGCACAGGAGCTCTCTGCACATTATCTGAAAGACAATTTCTGGTAGCACACATAAATCCTGGAATGCAAGCTTCAGATCATGCTAGGAAGTCATCCAACAATCATCTAAATTTTAAGCATTCTTTTCTTTATATGTAATCTCTACACAAAATAAAAAGCTAATCAAAAGGGAATTAGTAAAGACTGAGGAGAATGTGTTCTAGGCAACATGCAAAATGAAAATGAAAAGCATCTTTGCAGGGAAGTAAAAACTGAAGAGGAAATGAGTCAGAGGGGGAAGGGAAAGCAGAGAAGCAGAAAAAAAATCCAGCATAAATGTGAACAAAAGACAGTAAATACAGATGAGAAAACGAGAGAACTAGAGTAGGTACATCTTACCACAACTATGGCAAAAGAAGCTAGAACAGGTGTTTGTATGGCTCAAGAGCTGTCTGTCCCTTTTCAAGCACTATGAATAAAGAGACAGGACTGACAGCCACCTCCCCCAGACCTCTATGAACAAGAGCCCAGCTGGCATTCCTGCAGAACAGGGACCCAAGACTGAAAGCTCCAGTCTCTTTCCACCTACATATACAGACATTTGTGTTTAGCTTGCCTTCTGTACTCTTAGACAATACATAGCTTTTTTGTCAAACAAGAACAAAAAAAGAAATTATGAAAGCCCTTCCAAGATGCAAGCTCACACTTAAGTAAAATTTAATGCCAGACTAAGGCTCGACTAGGAAACAGACAAAGGAGAGCTATGTCATTGTTTTTAAGGGGTGGCACATCACATTGAATTTTGATAAATTACAAGGCTCACCAAAGAAAGAAAATGAGTATTTCATTCTCTGTAGAAAAAAAGACACTAAAATGTTAAGAACTGACAAAAAAGAACTGTACAGACTTGCAGAGCAAAGCCTGAAGAATTGATACAAATCCTCATGAACTCAGTTGTGACCTCAATTCATAAAGGTTTTTTAAAAGCAAGGCTGTTGAGCCCATTGTATACAATCAGTCCAGAACCAGCCTACAGACAGAATGTAGATGTGAAGCCTGCGTGAAACAACTGGGGGCTTAGCAAAAATCTCCCTTATCCCTTCACAGTACATCAGTCATGCAGAGTTCTTCCTACATGCGTTTAACTGTCACATGTAAACTGGTTGTTACAGTAGAATATGCAATGTGACAAAAATGATGAACAGCCTCCTTGCCTTTGACCAGACATAAATACAGATACCATAAAGTACTTATACACCCTGCAAAGGACAAATGCATATTGCAGGTCACATCTTTAACACAAAAAGAACCCCCTCAGAATAGACTCCATCAAAGTTGGAAGGTTAACAACAAAGTCATCATACAAATGAGAGGCTAAGCTTGAGAAGATGAGTTTTACCACAAAGATCTACAATGGCATACTCCCCTTTCCCAGGTGTTGCAAGCATTTTTCCCTTATAATGCCTCTACTGAATGCCAGCTAAAGTGTATGTTTGTTACCCATGCCCCGCCAAAAAAGCAATCCAAGTAAACACAGATGGGTTGTCTTTAACCCTTTAACCAGATAGAGCAGACCTTAAAAAGTACAAGATTTTCACGCAAAACTTGGCTAACCCTTTCTTAATCAGCTAATTTACTGATGATATCTGTAAAAGAATAAACAAATTACTGACTCATTTTCTTTTTTGTCTGCATGCTAGCAACACTGCTTTCAGCATAACACATTTCCCAGCACAGGAAATCTACAAGATTTGAAGGCTACAAGAATGTGCCTCAAACACCAGACCATTCCTATTTCTTAAAAATATTTCCAAATAGGTACGGGCTGAAATGGTTGGATGAGAATCCAAAATTTAATGGAAGAGATACAGTAAAGACTGTTCTCCAGAGTTTGCTGTGTAGTAAAAAGTGACAAAACAGCCTAGTAGCTGAATAATATTTTATTTTCTGCTGGTAATTTCGAGGTAAGTACAACTGTACTCTCAAAAACATGGGGTAAGAAACTATTCAGGTAAACCACTTCTTACAGAAGATCTATCACAGTTACTATCTCAGAATTCCTGCTGGTAACTGGTTGCCATGTAACTGCTTTTATTTTTATGTCCCTCCCACAGGAGACAGTCCTTCATGAACTCTTTCAGCATGTGTTCTTTACACAGGATGCAGTCCTTCAGGAGTGGACTGCTCCAGTGTGGGTTCCCCATGGGCCATTGGTCTTTCCACAAAACCTCCCAGGGGCCTGCTTCAGCCTGGCTTTCTGTGGGATGCAGCTTCATTTAGGCCACATCCCTGGGCCCCAGCATGGGGTCCTCCATGGCTGCTGTATGAATAGTTACTCTGTCGTGTTCCTTCATGGGTTGCAGAGGATCAATCTGCGCCACCATGGTCCTCATGACCTGCTGGGAAATCTCTACTCCAGCACCTGTACCATCTTCTCCCCCTCTGTCCTTACTGACCCTGGTGCCTGCAATGCTGCTTCACATTTTCTCACTCCCCTCTCACAGCCGCTTCACAGCATTTTTTTATCCCTCCTTAAATCTATTACCACAGACATGCCATGAATACTACTGATGGGCTCAGTTTTAGCCTGCAGTGGGTCTGCCTTGGAGCCAGCTGGAACTTTGTTCAACATGGAGGCAGTTCCTGGTATCCTCTCACAGAAGCCACTCCTGCAGGCTTCACTAACAAACAAACCTTGCCACGAACCTGCCCAATACATCCTCATAAATTCCTGCTTGTTTTCCTCCCATGTATGTCAACCATACACAGTTGCTCCATTTATCTTCCACATTTACTGATCCAACACACTTCAGTGTCAACCTTTGGGGCCGCAAGTTCTGCTCTGCTGGCCTCTGTCATATAGTTTATGTCACTAGGACCAAACTATGTTTCTAAGCCATTTCACTGGAATTAAATTAATTATTCATCCTTTCCATTACACTCAACCTAAGCTAATTATTTACAGTTCACATATTGCTTGCCTGTAAAGCTAGCACAAATGTTTTTCATCCCTGGTGAATGCCTCTCCTGGAAACCTTCTTCCCAGGCAGTTACCTGCAACTTAAACAGACCACTCCACTTACACAGTCCTTGAGACAACACTTATTAAGACATTGCTTTGTGACTAGGGAACTAATTATAAAACTGAAATTGTAACTCCACATTCAAAGTCCAGATTAGACGTGAATTTTCTCCAGCTTAAACAAATTTCCCCCAAACCTGGTTTTAGTTTACCTGACTTTAGTTCCTGCATTTGTAAAATGGGAATTATAGCACTTATAATGATTTAGATTTAATACATATTTTTTCTATACTAGATGAGATAAATTTCATCCTGCTATTAAATTACAAGTACTTATAGCTCTCCATAACTGTTTACTAGGAAAAAAAGGCTGTGAAATCAAAATAGTAGTAGAACTGGCAAACCTTTAAGCCTTTCAACATCTGATATACTAGGAACTGGATTCGGTCTTCAGTTAATTTCTCATGTTTCATTATCTTACTCAAGTCTGTTCCCATAAATGGCATGACGAGGTAGCTTAAAACAAAACAAAACAAAAAAAGGAAAGAAAACCAAACAGATTAACTTGATTAACTTTGTCATGTAAATTTAAACAATTGTATATTATAGTTCAATTACAGTATAAAATTATGGATCATTCCATTTACCAAACAATTCCATCAACATCATCCTCCTACCGTCCAAGCCCATCTGTTTTTATCTAATTGTGTTAAAGAGGTACTGCCCAGTTTTGTCACGGATTATGGAAATTTGATAGTTATCAGAACTAGCTTAGAAAGAAACTGACCAAAAGCCTCACGATATATCAAAGACAGCTACACAGAAAACTAACACATTCATGCAAGACAATGATCTCACAGTCATGACCACCTCATTAGACTAGCAAAATCTGGAGGATGATTTTGGGTCTCATTTAAAAGACAGTGCTTCAATGCTCATCATATAACATGTGCATTCTATTACATATGCTGAATAAAATGCTAGCACAATAGACAATACAGACAACATTCCTTTTGGCTCAACGATCAATATGAACATATGCTCCATGTTTCCCATACTTCATTTTCTACATTTTTCTGTCAGATAGCTTTCTTTGTTAACATATAAATACACAAGGTTGTTTAGGAAACATAGATACACTAGATAAAAATCCAGAACAGTTCTACTAACACAGGAAACCTACATCAAACCCAAAAGGATTTCTGAGCACTGTTTCTCTAGCAACTCTAATTCATCAGAATTGTAGCAGTAAACAAATAAATCAGCAGACATGTTAAGCATCTTGTGTAATAGCACCAAAAGGTCAGGGAGATGAGGTAGAAACAACCTGTATCAGATGCTGTTTGGACCACTGAATGGGGAAACAGTCACAGGGCACAACAGACCACAATGCAGACAAACACTAAAAAAATCGGCAGCACCAGCACTTTTGAACTGATCCTTGAATTCGGATGGGTCCCACTGAGATATGTACCATGTAGTAGGGTAACTTTCAGCCTACCTGACTGGGTTAAGAATTGTCCTACCATTTGAGCAACCTGGGCCTTAGGGTAAGAAATCAGTATTTATATGGTGGATTAGGGAATTCACTAAATTGCCATTTACTAAGGGCTGAAAGAAATACACACCTTGCAAGACAGGAAACTGGTTCAAATGACAATCTGAAACTCCAGCCCACCAAAGTTGCATGTAAGAGTCATATTAAGATGAAACTCAGAAAAAGAAAGTCCATGAAGCAACAGTTTTGAAATTCTCTATTTAAAAAAGCAAAGCAACAATGTTCTGCTCCAAAAAACAAATAACTTGGAACTTACAAGTCATTAAACTTTTCCAGTGTTACATCTGGTGTGAATACATCCAAAATTCCAATGACCTTAAAAAAAATAAAAAAATAAAATTAATGGCTGATTTGGCACAATAAAGCCTAAATTACCTAGTAAGTGAAAAAATATAATCTAAAATATAGTAAGACATTAGCTACAGGCATTAACATGGCAGAAAGAATACCTAAAGTAGTGCCAGGATTTGTTGTGTTAGATTTTATAATTCAGATGGCAGCTTTACCCTGTGATAAAAAAATATAAATATCTACTGGAACTACAAGTTCAGAGGCTAACTGTTTTATGTAAGGGGAGACAGTGTTTTATCACTTTAACTACTAAAGTGTTGAAAATAAACCAGAAGAATCAGTTTATAATATGAAGCACTTTTAAGTGCTCTGCACCTAGCTTGGTCTGATGATTATCAATGAAGTGCACTTTAAATATCTTCTAATTTCAGTAACAGGGTAATTTAGGTATATAGACTACAATAGCTTCTTGGAAGTCCAAAGAAGAAGCTAGAACTAAACTGTTTTTATTGAGAGAAAATTAGCAAGGACTTTATATGATTTACTATGGCTTATACCTTAGGTTCTCCAAAGAGTTTTTTTTGTCAAACAAAAGCATTCTATCACTGAACAAAGAAATAATAATCTTGTAAAATGGATTTTCCACCACAGCTTTTCCTATTAGTATAGTTTTTTGGGAGAACTACACAAACTGACTGGGTGCATTACACTAAATACCAATGCTTCTTTCAAGCCCATTGAACACCAGAAAATTAAATATACAGAACTCAATGCTCAAAAATAAATAGCTGGAATGATCTAAAGCTAAATTTTAGTTTAGATGCTGCTTTACACAGGCAGTGCCTAAATAACACAGGCTTTGAGCTGTTTCTTTTTTGAGTCTCTTTTCTACCCCTGCCGCTAACTCATGACCATTTCTGTCTCATCAGAGGAAGACTCCCAAGCCTCAAGAGTGCTTGTAGTGTTTCCCAAGTGCAGGCTGCTATGTCACAGAATCACAAAATATTTTGAGCTGGAAGGGACTCATATAGATCATCAAGTACAACTCTTGTGTGAACGGCCTGGAAGGGGATTGAACCCACAACTTTGCTGTTATTAGCAACATGAGGTTGTGCAGGACTTTGCTAGAAGCAAGCTAAAAGACTAATAAGCTTTACAACCTTGTTGAACCCCACCTTTGTGGCCATACAGACATTAGACTGTACATCAAGAACTCATCCAAATCAGTTATCTTTAAAAAAAAAGTGAAAATAAAGAGAAGCATGAGCAGAAATGGAGGGAGGAAATGCAAGAAAAGGACAAATTATTTAAAGCTTTAAATCCCCAACCACAATGAAATCCTTATTGCACATATTTTTAGTCTTTCCACATTAAGGGCAGACTTACTATGGTTAGCCTGGATATTATCAGAATGTCATAATGATGAAGAAGATAGAAAAACTAATAAAGATGAAGGCAGAAAATCACAACTCCCTTTCTTTGTAGCCACATATACCTTTGAAAAAAAGTCACTAATAATATTTACCTGGGCTGGTTATATGAAACTAATTAAAGAGAAATAAGTACTATAAAACAATCATTAAACCCACAGAGGATGTGGTTATTATTTGATGTAATACCTCTAGCGTTAACATAACAGTGAGAATTTTCTTTTTTATGTCAGTTTTACATTAGGTTTTCCTTTTCTCTGTGGAGGTAGTGAGAGAAAGGAGGACAGGATTACAAAGATATACTCTGCAAAAGTGGAGTATAACACAGCTCTACAGGCATTTCCTAAGGCAGTGTGTGTACACAAACAGAGGCACAGAGCATACAGAGCCACAGAAGTTTTATGCTCTCCTCAGATGTACATATATGAAGAAGGAAGTTAACATTCTAGCAGTAATATTATTTAATATGTATCCTTCCTTACCAACCCCCACTTTCTCAAAAGTCTTACTTGTTCTCCTTGAGCAGGTATTTCCATGCCCTCATACACCTAGGTAAGAACCAGAAGAAAATAAACTCCATCACATCTGAATGTGATGACATTCAGTGAAAGACAGTGGGACACCACAATGAGAAGGGACACAGAGGAGGATCAAATAGTGTGGCTGCTCTATGACATGCATCTGTACACCAAGGCATTATCAGGCACCCCAGTGAAACACAGGAGCATGAAGAACATGTTTCCATGTAGAACATACTAACCCCAAAACTCACTAATGAAGTTCAGTAACATTCTAATGCACATCTATTCAAGTAAACAGAGCTCCTGGTACTTAATGCTGCCTGATGTTCATTATTGCTGAGGTAAGGCTGCAAACTTATGGAGACAAACCTATCATTGCTGCAAATCCTCTACAGTGAATGAAGCCACCAAGACCAATGCTCAGCTCCCAAAGAAGGGAATTTCAAATAATGAACCAGGAAACTCTTGAAATATTCTAAGGATTTCACAATACTTCTCTTGCTTTACAAGCTCAGTTTTCTGAAAGTCCTGAAATCCATCTTGGTGTCCAAAATAATAAGGCATACTAATAGTTAATCAATTTTAAAATGAAAGTGAAGCACTAATTTCCTTTTCCTCAGTGATCTTTATTTAATAATTGTGGCTAGGATTATTTTCCTGTGCTGAAGCAGAGTCATTCATATTTCCATTTAGGCCAGGGATTTTTTCAGCAATATTAAGCACAAGGAAATATGGGATAAAATAAATCTTCTAAAGATACAGCTCCAGCTACTTGTTCAGGAAAAGGGAAAGAAACGGACAGTGTAGTCAACTCCCTCCCCTACAATATGATGGAAAATCCTGTTTCTGTTTGAAACCTCTCAATTATTTGTAAGGAACTTTTTGATGGTCCAGCACTAAAATAAAAGCTATAAACAATGAAAAGAATAATTTATTTTTATAGTGTTTCCTATATAAAATGTAACAGAGATATCTGTGAAACCTTCTATAAATACATTTTTGGTGTTAACCAGCACAATTACTGACACTAGCAGATATGGAAGCCCAGCTAAGGAATGAATCTAGTACACTCTGCAATGGTAATGAAAAACATCTGTGGAAATCAGCAGCAGTGCTGCCTTTCAGCACCTTATTTTTACCCCAATTAACTCTGCCAAGAGGCAATGTCTCAAATAAATAAGCCCACAAAGAATGTATCTACTGTACATTTGACTTAAAAATAATCTGGATTTCTTCAGCCTGCACTGAAGTACTCTAATAGCTTTTATCTCAAGGATAGGGTGTAATACTGAGTCACTTCCATAGATCTACAGATTGGTTTGGATTGGAAGGGACCTTTAATCTCATGTAGTTCTAATCCCCTACCATCAGCAGGGACACTTTCCACTAGAGCAGGCTGCCCAAAGCCCCATCCAACTCAGCCTTGGACACTTCTAGGGATGAAGCATCCACATCTTCTTTGAACAACCTATGCCAGTACCTCACAACTCTCACAGTAAAGAATTTCTTCCTTACGTACAATCTAAATCTATCCTCTTTCAGTTTAAACTGTTGTCCCTTGTCCTGTCACTATGTGTGCTTGTAAAAAGTTCCTCTCCAGCTCTCTTGTAGCCCTGTTTGTGTACTGGAAGGCTGCTCTAAGGTCCCTCCAGAGCCTTCTCCAGGTAGAACAACTTCAACCCTCCCAGCCTGTCTTCATAAAAGAGATGATCCACAAAACTACGTATCTACTGGTCTAACTGGTTTTCCACAGGTATGCTTTCGCCCAATATATTTACTTTGAAGCCAGCAGGATCTGGGTATCAGCATCTCCAGCCTTTCTTAACCCTACTGTGTGCGTCCCCTGACCACACTCACCAACTTTACTGCTGTTAACAAATAAATAACAGGTCCACATTGGTAGGGTGGTTTCTGCCCTTCCTTTCTCTGATGACCTCTTTTCCAAACACTATTCCAACAGCAAAGCACAATGCTGAATAGTTCATTACCTCTACCCTCCCCTGCACTTTGATGTATTGGATTACTTCTATTCAAGAACTGATGCATTACATTACTGTAAAAGACAGTTTCTGATATAAGCAGCACTACATCAAGAAAAAACCTGAATCTAGTATAAATTAATAAGTAATGTAGGTTACATCTCTCATACAGTAAGTGCTGCTTTCTCTTGAAGATGTTATGCATGAAAACACAATGAAGCTGAGTGGCTTGAGCACTCAGGCTAAACACGGAAGTACATTTCTTAAGAGAGAGCCTTGCTGAACTACATATTATGTCACATTAAATTTTCTGTAGGATTAACTTCGTGTTCCTGTGCTGTTCTCATCATGGGCACCTGCATCCTTTTATTACACTAAGAACTCTCAATCTTTTTAAAATTTTTACTATTCATGCCAAGGCTTGTACCACAGTCACCTTTCTCCCTCACAGTGATGAGGGATGCCTGCAAGACCTCCTTTTCTCCTCCCAGTCAGCACACTGACACTCGCAAGCCATAACCATGAGCATCACCACACTCTTCCTTCAAAGGATTCATATGCAACACTGGACAGATTCAAATCCTGCAGACAGACTCATCTTCATCTCTAGACTGGATGGCAATCAAAAGAGAAAGTTTGGGTTTCAGTGCTGCTTTTCGTATTTCCATGTCATGGAATGAGCTCATCAGTCTGCTTTACCAGTAGCCAAGGCTGGGTGTGAATAAATGGCTACCAGCTGAAGCCCAGCCTACGTAAAGCACCTATTAGTCTAGTTAGGAAAATAGGCAGAAATTACTATGCTGACTTACTGACTTTTGAGTACCAAAATTAAATTACTCCAGTGTCCTGTTAGCTCCCTAGATGTGCTTTCAGCCTGCAGAAACGCAGACAGGAGTGTTTCTCCCTTACAAATTTTTGACAACAATAAACTGCCCAGTTATAACTGTGTTTTTGCTTTCATAAGGACAAATAAGGAGATCTGCCATTTCCAAACAGGAAATATATGCACTTCAGTGGCATAGATGTACCCAAAGAATGTGAATTTTTATTTGGTGCAGTCCTGCAGGACTTGCTGCAGGAAACCTCTTCTAACACAGTGAGCACACTCTCATCCATTACAGCATCACTCATCTACAACTCCCTTGTTGGTCTGAGTCTGTACACTGCAGATGCTGTTGCTTTCCACTGCTCATGTCAGGCTGGAAGAACTGCAAAGGGTGACAGATTTAAGATTTTTCTCAAGCAAGAACATATTGTGACCAACTATTTTCTCTGGAACTAATTCTTCCCCTGGTTGACACTCTTTTTATTTTTTCAAAATAAAAAAGAAAACAGAATTAAAAAGCAGCCAACCTAAAAGTGTACCATCCTCAGAAATGCAACTGCAGAGAGACAGATAACTTGGTGTCTGCTAGATATCCAATTCCTTCCAAAGAGGAAGAAAATGCTACATGCTTCTCATAATACAAAACACACACTGGTCTTCAGATGTGGGAATACACCAGAGAATAATTTCCACTCTGAGCAATGAATGAGAGCATAATATAGAGTACCTTTAAACAAATACAGCGGTGGCCTCTTACATACAGACTTTCTAGGAAGTGAAAACATCTGTAGAATATTAACTGACCCAAGAAATGTTTAATGGGCATTTGTCAGAAATTTTACACCAGAAACACATTCAGACTAACTGGCAGAACTGCATTAGGATTCCCGTGGGTGCCTATATGTACACATAGGCATATACCTATGTACAAACACCACACTTTGCAAAAACCCCACTCTGTTCTGACATGAGCCATCAGCATGACCCGTTGCTCTTCCTCTCACCAGTGCCATCTCTCCTTGCCAGCTATTCTGCATTCCTGCTTGAAAACTTCTCTAAACAAACTGAAGATGAGGAGAGCACCAGGGCTGGACCACTGCAAACAACTGTGCACTTGTTTCAACAAAGCAGGTATCAAGGTATCACTTACAGTCCAAATGTATAAGAAAATCCAAGTTGTTTGCCAAAAGAAACTAGAGGCTCTGCACCTCCACTTACTTGTCTGGGTTTCACTCTGCATACACAGACATCTCCATTAACTGCAGAAAAATACACAAATGTAGAGCTATGCAAATGTTTGAGAGCTAAAGCCAGGGCCAAAGTTATGCTGGACATATTTTCACTGCTTTTGGTTTTAAGCCAGAGCTATAATAGGTAAATTTTAAAGGTCCTCATTTCAAATGAACTCAAAATGGACAGAAACATGGAACAGAAGCAGCACTAATGGAAAGTATTTCCTGAAGGTAAAAAGACTGCTCCTCTGTACAAGATTCAGCAGATGTGAATGAAATAATGAAGAGCTGCTAAGACTGTGGTAGGATGAATACTACAAACTAGCATGATTAAATGAAGGAGAAAAACAACTCCAAGAAGTGCTTTCTTCATTTTGCCTTAACTGTGTTTACTCCTTATTTCCATACCATGCCCTTCCATATACCAGCTATTTATACAGCTGCAGAGTGATCTAGCAGCATATCCTACTGGAAACAAACTTTTCTTTCTGACAATGTCTTAGGAATTGATCTGGGTTAGACTGCTTAGTAGAAGAAACAGCTTATGGAGTTTTGGAAACATCCCGTGTCCTCTCAAATTAAAAGGCCTACAAAAAAATAAATAAATCATACCAGTGCCATTAAAGACCAATTTATCTCTTAACAGGCAAGTCTCATCCTCTTCACACACAGCCTCTGTCTCTTGGCCCTCCACACTTCTTTGGATTTGTTTGCCAAGGGCTGATGAGAAGTCCCATGTGATCAAGTCTGCACAGTTCATACAGGAACATTCCTCAATACATGGTCTACATAGAAATATGCCTCACTACATTTACTTGAGAGATCTTACAGAGAGCAAAGGTCTAATGAAAGGTGGTATGCCAGCAACCAGTCACCTCCTCCTGAAAATGCCTGAATAGATAAGCAAATTGACCTGTGACTTAGCTTCCCTACAAAGTGAAATACAAATCCAATAAAATTCGGTAGAATTACTCCTGTATTTGCTTTTACAGGATTTCTGGTCATCCTACAATCCTTCTGCATAAAAAGATGAGCATATTTCTCAAAGGGGCTATAACGGAGGTCATCTAGGGTATTAAGCATTAATTTTCCTCCATTTTTCTTCACTGACATGCTGATGAATTGTATCACTGAGACACAGGTTTAATGGTATCTTCTGCTATCTTAATGGAGGATCAGAGCTGCTATTTTTAACACAATGTGTCAGACCATTATAATTTCTTCCATCATTCTGAATACAGCATAAGGTTAAATAAACTGTGATAATGTATTGCTGTATGCTTAACACAAAAATTCCCTGAAAGCTACGAGGGGTAGAGATGGTCCACTGAGAGGTAATCATAGTGAAAAAATAAAACATGAAACTTTCCATAAAAGCAAATATCAAATGCCTCATGATTACAGAAGTAATTTTGAATCAAAAACAGGTCAGAAGAGTGAACTGGATGTAATTTTAACTATCAAATAAACAGAAGGAAAGTCTTAACTGTGACAGTGGTGAGATAGTGGAACAGCCTGCCCAGAGAAGTTGTGGATGCCCCATCCCTGGAAGTGTTCAAGGTCAGGCTGGATGGGGTTCTGAGCAACCTGGTTTAGTGAAAGGTATCCCTGTCCACAGCAGAAGGGTTAGAACTAGATGATCTTTCATATCCCTTTCAATGCAGGCCATTTTGTGGTTCTATGTTTCTATGACATATGCAAAAAGAAGCAAAGCTCTTTGACAGAGCGACTGTGGGTCTAAAGGGTCGGGCTGAAAATCACAATGAGAAGCAATACTGCCATTCTGGTTTAATTTTGGATGGGTAGAACAGCTAACGGAGTACCCTTGAGATCAGCTCACGAACTGAAAATCCTAAAAGGCATTGCTGCTGCTTCTAATTCACCATGGCAAACACAACTGACAAAAGGGAGTGAGGCTGGGGTGGCAGACAGGAATTGTCTTAATGGCTGTACTGCCATGTCAGTCTCATCACAGATGGGTGGAACAGTCAGTTTCTGCCTCCAATCCCTGCAGGATCATTTATTTTGTCTTTGTTCTCTAATAAGTAAATGCCATAATTCATGCTAAAACTTTTCCTTAGTACATAAACCTCTTCTTTCTGTGGCCCAAACTGTTTCCCAAGATTGTAAATCATTCCCTTCCTTCATATATATTGATCTGTAACTTGTACAGATTGTCCTTAGGTTCCCCAGTGAGCATTTTCTTCTGAACTCTTTAATTATTAATTGATCCCACAGCGGAGTTCTAGGGTATTGTTCAAAAGGGCATACACTTCATAAAACCTGCTAAGAGTGGAAAATGCTACCAAACAGATTATTCTGGGAAGTGGAAGAAAAATAATCTCAAAATTCTGGACACAGTTAGGAGCTTGGCAACTGCACGGGCTGCTCTGCTCCCAAAAGTTCACTAAAGAAAATGCTGAGAGTATTAAAGCCCATATACAGAAGTTTTCTGCAAACATTAACTCCTAAACATATGCAGCACTGGTTATAAGGCAGTTACTTTGAAGTAATCAGACTAAAAGTTTTAGATTAAAACAAGCAGAGTTTCTTAAGCCTACAAAAAGCTCTTTTTCCATCTGGACTGTCAGAATAGCCCACAGACTATTCCTCAAACAAACCTAGTTTGTACTCACAATATTAGTATTATAATGTTTAATGGCAATGACCAGTTATTGTTATTACCACTTTCTCTCATCCTCACTTTTGATGTCTCAGCTTTTTGTGAAGGCCCTCTGAATGGAAGTATGCTCTAATATTCCACATCAACTAACATTTTAAACTATGTTCTTATGCATAATTTTAACAACTCCCTCCAAACTATATGGGTTTTTTATCCCATATGCATTCTTCATGAACAGCACTTAAAACTACTACTGTGACTCTGGGACTCTTCTCAGCTGGAATCCATGCTTTCACTCCATAAATCCTATTTTTGCACAAACTTCCTCTTTATTTTTCCTAAACCCCTAAGCAGTATTGGGATCATGAATCACTCTCCCAATCACACTTTCAGTACTTCTTTCTACAGCTGTTCTTTGATGTTACATGGGAATTATGTTCAGAATTCTATTACCTATTCTCTACTTCACAGTAAAGGAATTTGTTTAGTAATTTGCAGACCTTCCCCATTTCCCATTACTATCAGCCTGAAAGGTTCAAATACTTCATGAAAAATAAAAAATAGAGAAAAACTCTAACCTATCCCCAAAAAATATGGGTATGTGCATCTTCATGCAAGCCCAAGGGAATAAAAAAAAAAAAAAAAGAAAAAAAAAGAGGAAAAGAAGATGCTGGCACCTGAAACCCATGGATCTGTGCTCTGTATTCTCCCACAACACACACGAACATAGTAATGGAGAATGTAATTTCTGGTCTTTAATCCCTCTCATTAGCACTGAGCATATTGCACTGTGGTCCTAATGTTCCCCACCCAATCTTTCCTACGTGGAAATTAAGTGGTGTTTCCCACAGGATATTCTCGTTTGTGTGAATTGAAGTTTGTAGGATAGGCAGATAAAAAACCAGGCTGAAAGATTCCATTATTCCATTCAGCTACACATCTGCCTTGTCCAAATCTACATATTTTCTTTGATTTAGAGCGCCTAAGCTGTGGTTTTGAGCTAACAACTTAACTCACGTTTTCATGCTTCATGTGTTTCAGGAGACGCAGCTCTCGGTAAGCTCGTTTGGCAAAGAGTTCAGACTGAAACGGCCGGTACAATTTCTTAATGGCCACTTTGGTACCACTTCTTCCATCGACGGCTGAGCTTTAAGGGAAAATAGTCTGGTGAGCAAGGACCGAAGCAAGTCTGCAGACCTCAGCAAACCCGGCCAGCACCGGGCAGCGGCTGCATCCTACCCCGCGCTGCCGGGCTCTCAGCCCGCAGCCGCCCGTGCCACGGGGGCAGACCACCTCCCCAAAGCACCTCCGCCAGCAGCCATCTCATTTCGATCGTTTAAAGCCTGCCAGACTCTGTGATGAAATGTAGACAATTATCAAAAGCTTTAAAGAGAAACATCTGCGGAGTGGAAAAAGAAAAACCCCCAAGCCAAAAGTAAGACAAAAAACCCCATAAAACGCCCAAACGCACCACCAATGCAGAGCCAAACCAAGGGGCCCACCCCAAGGGCTACAACACCCCGAGCTTCAGGGACGCTGCCGCTCCGGGGTGCCGCGGGCAGCGCTCCCCGGCAGGGCTGGGACAGCGCTCCGGTCTCTGCTCGCTCCAGGGACGGAACAAGCGAACAGGCCGGTCCGGGGCGGCCCCGCTGTTCACCTGGCCGCCCCTCTGCCCCCGAGGGGCCAGCAGCACTGGGCGGGGCCAGCCCGGGTCCAACAACCGGGAAAAGTTGGCAGGGAGCAACACGCCACAGGGCCGGGCCCGGCAGCACCCCCCGGGCCGGGACAGAAGCCGCCGCCGCCGCCCGCCCCCGGGCTGCCCCCCGCCGCCCCGCTCACCACACGGCTCCGTAGGCGCCGGACCCCACCGGCTGCAGGTCCCGGTAGCGGTCCCGCACTTCCCAGAGGGTCTTGGTGATCTCCTGCCGGTAGAAGCCATTCTGGGGGGAGGACATGGCGCTGCCGACCCCCGCCGGCACACGCCGACAAAGAGCCCGGGCCGGGGGAGCGGGAGCGGCCGGCTCCGCCGAGCCGGGCTGCGCTGAGGGGCTGGGCCTGAGCGAGCGGCACCGCCCGCGCCCGCCCCGCGCAGCCCCGCCCGCCGCCCCCCTCAGCGCGGGGGACCGGCACTGGGAGCGGCCCCGGCCCCGCGGCGCCCTGCCTCCCCTCCTGCGCCGGCGTCTGGGGCAGCTCTCCTCCGAGGCTGAGGCGCGAGGGTCGCGGTGTCCCGGCGGCGGCCGAGCGTGTCCGGACAGGGAGGCAGGTGCCGAGGCTCTCGCTGTCCATGCGAGTCCTTGCGGTGGGGACCAAACCCCTCCCGGCCGTCTCTTCCCCGCCACGGTGCGAACCCTCACGGGGGCCCGTTTTGCGTTTATGCTCAGGTTCCTGTGAGGTGCCATCGGCTGCTGCATCAAATTGTTAAGGAGTACGAGAAGCTGTAGCTGGTAGAGCTGGGAGTCCAAAAGTGAGCTTTTGTATGGCCTCTGTCCGGAGCTGAGGGGTCCCCAAATCATCCCAGGGTCAGACCACAAGTTACAACAGTATTTCATATAGTTAAATAAAAACCAGCATACACTTGGTTCAGGTGCTCAGAGCAAGTGGTCCTGTGCATGGCTGAAGTGAACTGGAATGGAATTGTTGCAGCAGTGGTTTGAAATGATTGCAGCGCTGGAGTACGGACAAGACCAACCTTCTCACTAGCTCTGTAATAAATAGGCCTGGGTAAGCAACACGTTTAAGGCAAGGACGTGGTTTAAAATACGTTTCATATGTTCTCTGTTTGAATATAATTAAAATTACTGTCCTTCAGGGTCTGGTACAGCCTTTGTTTTGTTTGACTTCACCCCTGAGCAGTGTTGCTGAGGTTAGATAATTCAGATTTGCTGTCACTAGAGTTCAATTTGTGGTTTAACTCTAAAGGGGCAATCTGGAGAAGTTTCATGGCTCCCAGTGCCATTTTGGTAGTTGCCAGGGGCACAGCCCTTTTTGTGCCTGACTACCAAACGTGGAAGAGCTGCCCTGCCCTTGCTCCTCCGGGGGTACAGGAAGAACACAACCTTCCAGCTGCCAGCCCTGGTTTCCAGTGCTGCTCTCCACTGACCTGTTTGAATCTCTGGTTTAGTGAGAATGGAGAGCAACCTTCTGACATTTGACAGTTAACGTGAGCCTTGTGAGAAGTGTTAGATCAATGGTAGATGCTTACTTTTAAAAATCCACTGCCCCAGGTGATTATTTTTTAATTTCTGACATCCCTTCTATGCTGTTTGCCATTCAGATACCAGTGTGATATGTGGTACAGGTAAGATGAAGGATAGAGCAGCTTCCTCTTGTTTTGAACTAGTCCATTAGTTAAATTACTTTTAATGACCATTGTATATGTTTCTAATACATAGAGGATTAGTTCTGCTTGTCATCCCTCACGTACTTTTCCTTTATCCAGCTGTGACAAAGTGGTACTTTTTTACTGCTTGCTTTTTATCAAGGCAGAAATTAGATGATTTTGATACAGATAAAAGTACTAACTTAAAATCAAGACAAAGTCACTCTTGTGCAGAAGCTGGGAATATTACAGAGCAACTCTTTAAAAACATTTTAAATTGACAAAGTTATCCATTGCTGGTTTTCCCATGTACATTACTTCAAGTAAGTATTTTGGCCTACTTTGCTATAGATGGATGAAGTAGCCTAACTAATGCTGGCTAACGAAGATATTTTTGTCTAATAAACCATTCAAAATGTCTATGAGGAGAATGATGCAACAAGCTTGGGTCCATCCAAAGCTGGTAGATCTCACAGCAGTGTCACAAACTGTGAGTCTCTGCACCCTCATCCTGCTAGGCTCAGCTGGATACATGGTGATGTGTTTTCCCAACGACAGTTTGTTGCAAGGGGACTAATAGACGCTACAGCCGTATCTTATTCTGGGCAATGTGTGCTTGACAGGATAGATTAAAAAAAGAATGCTATCAGATGTTTCTGCTTCTGGCATATGTTTATTGTAAAGTAAATAGAAAAAAAAAGGATCTTCCTCAGACATCATTAACAAAAAATAATTGCATTAATGGTGCAAAAATTGCACTTTTCTAATGCTTATCCCATAAAGGGAAGACTTAAAATATACCAGAATGTGGTGGGGTTTTTTAAAGAGCCAACTTTTGATGTGCTGGACAGTTGCCATCAGCTTCAAAGCATATGAGGTAGATGGGATGGGTACAGTACTCTTTCTAATCCCTCTGGGAACTGAGAGCTCAATTTCCCTCCAGCCTTTTCCTGGAGGTGAAGATTTGGTACTGGAGCAGAAGCTCTACAAGCAAGAAGTGAGAAATCTAACCATATTTTCCTGAGAAATCCTACATGTATGAAGTCTGGTAAGAGAGTTTGATGGCAAAGCTGCTCGCCACAAACTGTCACTTGGAGATGACAAAATGGCACAGCCCTGTTTGTCAGGAGCTGAACTGCGGGCGAGTTGCTGGGCCCTGGGCATCAGTGTGAGCAGGGAGAGGGGACTGACACCTGATCTCCAGTCCAGGCACTGATAATGTGCAGGAAAGGAGACCATACAAAGTCCTTTGAAAAATCAAACATTTCCCACTTTTTTGCCTGTTTATGTCTGTCTTTCATATGATCATTTTATTCTTGATACACTAATTCGCATATGAATAATTTGGCAGCGTAAAACATATCTTCAATGTCAATAAACACAAAATATTGCTGAACTGTTGAAAGCTGATTCCTAGAACATTATTATTTTTTGCAAGCTTTCTATGTCCCCACCTTCAAAAAAATCCTCTGTGCTTGTCTACTTAGACCTGTTACCGTGGAGGAAGTAAGTTCATTCCATTTATTACAACAAGAAGTGAAGCTTATAAAATAGTAATTAAAAAATCTGTTTTAATCGGATAATACTCTTGTGCTATTTTGTCCCCACCCTTCCCCACTGGAGTCTCTGCCAAGTATTTTGCAACTTTTCTGATTTTGTCTCTCTGCCCCATGAGCAGGGTGTTTCAGTTCCAGTTTCTGTGACATGTAGCCTTCCTGGGGACCTTGCTATGTTTTAAGGTCACTCAGCCATCAGCAGAAAGGAATAAGTATGGACCACCTAAGTGGTTCTTTTATTTTAAAAAATAATTAAACCTATATGTTTCATTTTTTCAAGAGGTCAAGTGAGAACTTTCTTAGTAACTATGTACTACCCCGTTATCTCTGCTTGCTGGACGTTGGTAGAGGAAGAGAGGCCAGTTGTAGAGAGTAGTAGGCACATATGTATAAATCAACTACTTTTAACACTCTTCTAACTTACACTCCTCAGAATCCACCAAGTTTTCTCCCACAATAGACTGAAGAAGTTTAATTTTTGAACTATCACAGATTATTGCAGTATGAGATGCTATAGTCTACAGAGCAAAAAAAAACCAAACCAAAACTTCTTCAAGTTTCCCAACTTCAATGCAAAAATCATATGAAAAGAGCATTAATGGATATCACCGATGGATAGCTTTACTCATTTGTCAAGGCATAGTTGTGCACATCTCCTGTTTAAACCACCCAAACCATCATGGCATTCTTACCCCTATCTTATCCATCCTACTCAATCCTACCTTAGTTTTCTTTGTTTCCACCTCAACCTAATGAGAGAGCTGAGCAGGATAGGAGTACTGTATATAATTTTTGCACAGCATGTAATTTAACTATGTGTTCTTGATTTGAGCAATCAGGCTCTAATATTAAGTAGGCATATATTATTATATCTGAGTGCTAATCCACAGCATATTATTCTATAAGGAACAAAATATTGCTCAGTGGAGGCTGCCAGTTATGGCAGATTTAGTGTATAGTTGTCTCAGTGCTGCCACTGTGATTCAGTACTTCTATGGTGTTCAGTATTACTTGTGGTCAAATTGAAATCTAGAAGGACTGGCAAAAACCTCTGTGCTATGGTACATATCTTAATTTGTGACAGTAATTTGAGCTAGGGGACTGCGGGAGTGCAAAATGAAGCATTTATGTCTGCAGGATTGAAGCCTAATTGAAAAGTTTTGCTCATTATGTAAAAATTTCTGGTCTAATGGATTAAATGTCAGATTGGTTAGAAGATCAGTGTTCACATAGAAAGCTCACAATATATTCCCTCCTTGTAGTGAAAACTTAGACCCTTTTAGGTGTATCAGTTCAATATTTTATCTCAGAGCAGAAAGGAAGGCAGTGGCAGCAGTACTCATGCAGCTTTCTAAATCTCTTGGTACTAGTGCCTTAAACCCCCTTACCCAGACTCAAATTAATGACACTTGGTACTCCCACTTGTGCAGGTGTGCTGAATTTCTGAGGACCAGTGTTTGCATCCATAAACACTAGCAGCAGTACCAGCAATGTGTGAGAAGAAAGCAGCTGCTTTTAAAGCAAATGGAAGTGTTGCTATTAATTCCTTCCTAAGGAGACTGATTGTGTCGAGGTTGAACCCCTTTCTGCTGCTAACAAAAGACACTGTTTACCCAATTTACAATGCAATTCTCTTTTCATGAGAGCTAAATCTTTACCACTGCTCATTTGTCAGGGATTCTTGGGCCAAGTCAGTAATTTACAGGTGTAGCAAAGGATACTTAAATAATATGTGCTGACAGTTCAGTATGGTACTTTTTGGACATATTAATCTTTGACCAGGTCCCTAGAGTGGGGAAAGTAGAGGTCTGTTTTCTTGTTATGATCCAGGAGCACATGTGACAGGAAGAAAGGAAGGAAGTAACTTTTGTACTGACTGCTTCCCACCTCTGTCAAAGTTTCTTTTTTTTCTTTTTGCTGCCCACGTTTGGCCCTTGGAAGGGTTGCTCCCCTCTTGACACTTAGGGTGAGCTTGCTGTGTCAGATCTTGCAGCACACTGACCCTCCTCCCCTTTTGCTTTCATCTGGTATATCAGATGAAAAAGACAACAAGACCATGACCTAGAACTCTGCAACAATGTTGTCTAAATAATGACTCTTGACCTATTGATAATGATGTATTTCTTTTCATATATCAGTGTTGATTACCCAATTTCCTGTTTTTTCCTTTCTATATATTTTTGAACTTACTGGTAACCCTGCTATTTCAGACTCAAGTAGCCACTTTGTATCTTCAGGGTATGGCACATGATATCCTTTAAAACAGTGCTTTTCCTCTAAACCCTCCTTGGTTTTTCTTTCCATTGGTCCATTGTAGATTAAAGGGTTTTTATTCCTGTCTGCTTTGGCTGTGTTGTATCAATTTCCTGTTGTTGGGTTTCAATGCTGATGAGGTAAAGAGGTTAGAAAATAAAGAAACAGATTCTAAAAGTGTGGTGTATGCGTAGGCATGTCAAAAGACTGAGATGCTTGCAAAAGATTTTCCTTTTGCAAGACCTTTTGCTGCCAGTGATGATAAAATTACTAGGCTTGGGGTTGCACTAACCCTGATTATAGAGTGAGATAATAAATACTAGAAGTGATTTCAATTCACTAGGTGGACGGATAAGCTCTTGTTACTGAAAGCTGAAATTAGATAAATTCAGATTAAAAGTAAATTGCTAACAATGTCAGTAATTGATCAGAGAAAGCCCTTGGACAGCTGTGTTCTCCCCACTGGAAGCCTGATCTGCTTCCTCCATGAGCAAAGCCCAGCCATGCTCCTCCAAGCTTCCCCTCTGTGCTTTGCAGGTGGCCAGGGATGAGAGTACCCTAATTTAGTGTGGGCTAAAACCCATGCTGCTCTCCTCAAGCATACATGCAATGTATGGAGCACCTACAAAGGAACAACTGTGCTACTGAAAGTAAGAGTGCTGTCAGGAGATTGAACCCCCACTGTTTAAGCAGGCACCATTACAAGATTTGCAAATAACATTTGGGCCATGTAATCAATGCTTTTATTAAAGACATTTTTAGCAAATAATTTTTTTTATAAAAGCTTTACATTTATTTACTCTTAAAATTTACCTTTAAGCCATCTGCCTCACCAAACCTGACAAAGCCCTCTCTCCTCTATATTTACCTCCATCTGCTTGTTTGAGTTGGTTGATAAATGTTTTCTTCCATCTGTGTTCAAATGATAAGCATTGTTAGTTCTAAGCTTTCCACCTTTCTGTCCCATTGGGGTACTGACTTTCCAATTACCCTCTCCTGCTGTTGTAAACTGATAAAGTTATCAAATTGTAGTCTCACGTTGGGTTGCCACAAGGGAGCTGGTTACCTACTCTATGAAAACACTTTAATTACTGATTTTTGAGGTCTGAGTAATTGCCTTCATTTTGCACATCTAGGAAAAAGATGTCTGTCTCCCTACTGTTTTTCTTTACATTAAAATGAGATGATTTACAGGTTTTGATGGTAATTCATTAAAAAGGGCTGAGCTATTGTTGCCCATTACTGTCATCTTTGATTAGTTTAAATGTGGCTATGACCATATTCTTCCTACATAATTTATCTCCTAGAAAAAAAATTGCATCTCTGAATGGCAAAGAAAATATTCAAAGGAAGATTCAGAGTTGTAAGAAAAACAAATTTTGGAAGCAACATAAACCTTTTACCTCAAGTGGCAGAGCTATGGCAACCAGTTTTATGCATCCTTTGAAGCATTTGACAATGGCCACCCTCAGAGCCAGGAAACCAGATTTAACAAATGAAGGGACAAACCCTATAATAAATTAATTATTGTCAGACATGAAAAGTTCTTGTGAAATCTGTTTACTTCATCCTAGCCCTTACAACTGAAATGGAGTTGCTGAATAGGCTTGTAAGCTCAATATCAGATTCCAGAGAAAATAAAGGACTGAGCTAGTTTTAACTGGCAAATGAACAAATTAAAAAAAAAAAAAAAAAAAGTTTAAGATATGACTAAGTCAATATTTTCATTATGTAGTCAGACTAATTTTATTCAGCATGAAATTCAGTCATTGCATGATTATTACAGGCCTCATCCAGCTTCACAGAAAGCCAAAGGAATGATGGCTGACAGCACTGCAGTGGAGTTGCAAGAAATCTATGCAGGCATCACCTCCAGATTAACATGCCCTAGGGAAAGTTGAATACAAGTGGCTGCATTTCATTGGATGCACGTAATGGATAACTGGTCAATATTACCAAAACAGTCTATCACTTAGTCCACAAATTAGAAGCATGTTTTCTAGATGGAATGCCTATTTCTATTTCTGAAAAAAATCAAAGTTCTTGGTCTTGATTTTTTGTTTTTGAATCTGTTTATTAAGAAAAAGCCTTTATTTTAACAAAGAAAATATACAGAGGAAAGCAAATGCAGTAGAATCCATTACTTTATATAACTGCTATACAGTTGAATATGACAAAAGTTTCAGAGAACCTAAATATTATAAAAAGCTACCGCCCAAATAAGACTCTGACTGAGCAAGAACAAGACACAAATTAAACATTAAACAGCTGTGAATCACAAGTGTGTAGAAAGACACAGCCAATACAATAGACGAGGCCTTGTGCCAAAAGGATGTTCCTGTTACAGCATTATGCATGCTATGTTCCTGTATACAGTATAATGGAGGAATCAGATAAATTTAATTCTTAAAAAATTATTGGTATTTGATGTATCCTGAAATTTTTTAATTAATTTTCCAACTTTTCAGAGTCAGAAAACCTTTAGAATTTTGCTTGGAAAGAAACTCCAATGAGAATGTGTCAAATTCTTGAATCTACTTGTTTTGTCACGTCTTCCAATAGCAGTTTTTAGATTACTTTCCCAAGGATTTTGTGAAGGAAAATAAGACAATGTGGAATATTTAATTCAAAGCTGTGAACTGAACTGAGCGCTCCTGCACTGCCATCTGTGACAGCCTTTGCTGAAGCTTGCAGAAGTCTACAGAATTCTGCTGCGGTACCTTCAAGGCACCTTCCTGTAAACCTAGGCAAACTCACCAACAGTCCAGCAATGGCATGGTGAGGAATACCATCGGGTAGTAAAACTGTCTCACAAAGGGGTATTGTGCAGATTAAAAAATACCTCTGGAAAATAATGAGAACAGACACATGAATGGCAAGAGAAGAGAAAGATTTATTTTTTTACTGACTTTCAACTGGTGTTAAGATTGCTTGAGAGACATCCAGTACATGTGTAGGACCACCACAGATATGACTACATATGCATATTCTGTCTATCTCACTACCACACCCTCTCTTCATAAAGGCACTAACTATAAATAGTACAAAAACAGACAGAAAAAATGCCACAAAAAAAAAAAAAAGATTGCTTGTATGGACTTCTTGTTTATGTTTGTATACATTCATGCTTTAAATGTACAATTTTAAAATTAATTTAAAAGGTCACCTTTATTTTGGCAATACAACTGATAAAATGAAACATGCAGAACACACAGCTTGACAGAACTCAGTGCATAATTTTGTCAGAATGAAGCAGTTCTTTACCACCCTTTTTGAATTGGGAATACATTCATATTACAAGGCAAAAAACCCCCCCACCCAAAACAGACAACATCTGGCTTCTGTTTAATGTATCTGTGTTTCCACATCTCCTCCAACATCTTTGGATAGTAAAATCTATGTCTGACCACAGGTTAAATTGTATGGTTATATTTTAACAGTCTTCATAGTGCAGCAAGGCAAGACAGAGCTGCCTGTATTCACTGTTCTATCTCCAGGCTGTCCATTTTTAAGTCAGGTGGTTTAAAGCTATTCACTTCTTCATAGGTAAGTTCTGTGGAGGGGGTGTAAGGAAGAGAGAAGAGTTAGATGATATTTTCTTCAAAAGAAAAAGATTCCAGACAAAACAGTTCTACAGATACACATGACTTGTAGTTTGTTTCCAGCCTTTTTAGCATCCAGATCCAAAACCAGACTGAATTCACTAGGAATCCTCCTCTTAACCTCAGATACAAATTAGAGTCACAAACACTATTATTGTACAACATGACTGTCCCCTTCAACTAATTACTAAAACACACAGGCCCTGAAATGAAAACATCAATTATGCTGTCAGATGACCTGCCAAAATGATGTAATGAAAGACATTATGTAATGGAAAACGGAATATTTAAAAGAACCTAGATAGGTTTTAAAATGTACAATTTTAACTGTGGAGAACATTCTTTATCATCTCTCAGTCAGTTCAATTATATATCATTTGCAATTCTGTGCTAATTCCTTGGGATCCCATTTTTTTGCTGTTTTGGTTTGTTTTTTTTTAATGTGTTACTATAGCTGGCTTAATTTTACAGTACTCTGAAAAAAATTTTCTTTTTGTCTTAGAAGCATGTAACAGCTTTTATCAGGAAATTCTATATTCATCAATAACTAGAAACATGGGTTACTTGCTGTTTTACCCTGCTTTGGGAATAACCCTTTATCTTTTAATACTAATAGTCACGTCCTGTTTTCTGCCTTAGACATTAATGGAATATGTTCTCAGTGGATACCTTTTCCGTATTTTCTCAAATTAGATGCTGCTTTTTAAGGACCAAGTCCTGTTAGCACATGGTTAATTTCAGGTTATGGCATTACTTCATGTTCTGTTTTCCAAACAGTGATGTTTAAATCATATCAAACTCATGCCTGTTAGCTTGTTTATTAAGTAATTCTGTCTGAGACAGCTGCTATGCCTGCAAGCATACCAAGGAATCCTCTACATAGTATGTAAAAGATCTTGGGACTGAATCTTGCTTATGCTCTGGTTGTGTTATGTTGTACCACTGTGTACAGTGATGTGCGTACCAGTTTCAGTGAGGGATTTCTCTGAAGGAAATTCTGTGTGCAGAACACCAGGCATCGGAGGACTTGTTAGGTGACTTTGAGTGACTGACTTATGACTATTACATAGAATTACAGGCAGCCAGGGAGGAGCTACAGCTGACTGAACTTGGAGAAGCCAGTGTCCTCACAAATCGGACACCTGGAACTGCATTAGGAATTGTTCTCACTGGCTGCATGGTTTATGTTTATTAAGCTCTTTACACTTCTCACTGTAACTATTGTACTCAGCAGAGATATGTGCAACTGGAGCAACATCTAAGGAGAGAATGTATAGCATTCAGCTCTGAATAGCATACTCTTGGCCTCTGAAATTTTGAAATATTTTCTAACTGATTAAACATGTCAGTAAGAGATCTATCTATGATCTTGGGCTGCAAGCCTTAGCAGTGTGCAATGGAGGTCAAGAAAACTCTGAAGTGCATAATGTAGAGATCAGGCACCACTGGTATTTAACTTGAACAGAAAAAGAGCAGAAACATGCCATTGACATCTTGAGAAATTGGGTCAATATTTCATCAACACTACATCATCTTACTTAAATGTGGCACATGCTGTACTTGAAAATAAAACATTTATTCCCCAAGATAAAAATATGGCCAGAGGGAAGAAGGAAAAGAAGCAAACCCTGCTGTGCAAGTTTGGAGATTTTTGTCTCAGGACTTTTTTCAAACCTGAATAAAGAAGGAATTTGACTTGTAGTTCCATCAAAGTCAATGATGTAAAAAACGATACATGATAAATGCAGTGATAAATAATATGATACTGCCCTTCCAAGAGAATTCACCTTCATGTCTTCATTTCAGTTTAGAAAGTGTTAAGCTGTTAAGCTAAAATGGTTCCTGAAATAATTTCAATGGAATTTCATCACAAACAGAAATCCACTTCATGACTCAGAAATTGTGAAACTTTCCTGTTAAAGACTCAGGCAACTAAAAAAGCAGCAGAAGTAAAATCATCCACTCCTAAGTACAGCAGCAAATGCACAACAAGCAACATGTATGGGTGGTCCTGTAGGCTGCCAGGTTTTGCAATGGAGATGTGTACAGAGTAAGTGATGCCAGTCAATTCTCCTTGTTTGTCAGACCACTCAGCTTCTACAAAAGCCTTTCTAGGGCTCTAGGACATTGATTTATTGTAGAGAGAGCCATAACCCCACTATCATATTTCTTTAAGATACATTTGCTGTAGACAGCCTGCTTTCTCCCCTGTGATGCCCAGAATAAAACATGGCACAAGTGGATGGACATGAGTAAGAAATGAGAGTATTCTTCATCATAAACATAACCACTATGATAATAAATTTTTATTGAATCTTTGCTGAGTAAAAGTTACAGAAAATGCAAATAGAAACAAAAGGACATTTATTTTGTAGAAGACATATTTCATCTTAAGCCAGGGAAAGACTGTTATTGATAAACAGAAACAATTAGTTTTCTACATTAGTCTCAATTTAAAATCTCTAGTAAGGAATTTTTAGAATCATATGTCCTCATTAGACAGTGGTGAAATTGGACTGTACTTTTCAGTGTACTTGCAATCTAATGTTGTGCCACTTTACTTACATGATACTGCAGTGCAATATGATTATGTTGCAAGCATCTCAAACAGGACCAATAGCATGGTGTAGTTATTAATCCCAATTCCTTTGCTATTGAAAAAATTATTAACAAAATACACATTTATGTGGACAATATTACTTTCCAGTCCTGATCAGAACTAAACCAGAATCCCAAGTAGTGTCACCTGCCCCAGGACAGTTACTTCAGCTGGGGGTCTGACCTAGAAAACTAAAAGCAAAACAGAATGTGTGATTACCTGGTAGCTAGCATAAGCTTTCAGTTAAGCTTTCACTGGTACAGGGAATCTAGTAAGGAGATGACAGAACGGAAGAGTGGGCAAAATCCAGAAAGCCTTTCTGCCTGTCTACTCCCACAAGCACCCATATGAACTTACCTTGTTTGCCTGAGGCTTAAAAGTTCAAATTCCTCTGGCTAGAAATGGAGGAAAACTGTTAAGTAAGGCTTTTTTCTGCTACATGTCTAAACTAGTGCATGCAGTTCTGATACCTTTCCATTCATCTATGGTTCGCTCCTTGTTCTCTATGGACTCGTCGTACAGCTCAGCCTCGGGTTCATCGTCTGGATCGTGATACTGTACAAAGTAGGGATGTGCAAGTGCTTCCGAGGCTGTGATCCTTTTATCACTGTCTAAAATAAGCATCTTCTCAAGAAGATCTACAGCTAAGGCAAAAACAGAAACACAGTTCAAAACTGGAAGAGACCATAAAAGGCAACTGTTTACACACAACCTATTCTCACTCACCTTAAACGCAATTAATGTTTCTTGCAAAATTTAGGCAATATAACAAGTACGTTTAGAAGATTTTGTACTGTGAGTACAAAAGAACTGAAGGAAGCTTCTGGTTTCCTTGTGGCATACACAAAGGTTCAATATAGTCAACTGGAGATCTGATTCACCTCTTCAGATATCCAAGGACATAATTCTAAAAAGATCCACGTATGCTTATAGGGTATTATCTTGTGTTGTGCATCGCGTGCTTAAGTTTGCACTAATCAGGACCAAGCTAAGTGACTTGTGAATAATAAAGTGTGAGATTACACTTCTAATATGCTGCACCAATGAAACAATCAGATGAAAACCCCAAAGCAACTTCACAGGACCTAGCATAAACAAAATGTGTTTGAAGTTGACATTTGAAGTATACTAGAAAGGAGAAAGAGTTGTATGGCTGAAATTAGGTCTTATGGAAATTTTACCATAACTATTTAAAATACTATTTTTTTTTACTGCTTTCATATAAGCATTGGCATTAATTTGCCTTTATGCTATTAATATGTAGCATGGTCTCATGTACTTCAGGCAAATAAATCCCATATTTTAATATTAAAGTGTTCTAAACTACTTGTAAGAATAAAATTTATATTAATACACAAAATGAATTCAATGCATTTTAACTCACAATACTACCCTATATTGTACACTTGATGGAACTGACCTGGTACTGCAGTGAGATGGTTCTGATGACTCAAGTGTCTCCTTTTTATGTCACAAGAAAATGTTTATAAAACATCTCTTTTTCACAGGCAGAACCAATTGATTACACTTTACAATTGTAAAGAAGTACAATTATACAGGATCAGATCAAAGGTCTGCCTCAGCCCAGTATCCTGTGTCCAACAATGGCTCATATCTTCCTAGGAAATAATACTCCAAAGGGTCACTCAAACAGCCATACTTCCTGGTATATTCTTCTGCTTGCCAGCAATTTACAGCTCATTGCCTTCCTGAGCCAAAAGTGATGTCTCTAATCTAGACCCCGTGACATTTTTATTTATTTCTGCTATGTACAGCTGACTTTTGCTTTTCATCCATGGACCATTTCCCTTTAGGAGGTTCCTGTAATCTCCATCAGAAACAAAAAGACACAGGCTTCATGAAAACAGTCTCAAGTTGAAAGGTTAAGCAATGCTTTTCTCACTGGTCTGATCATTGTTATATGGGAACATACAGCATGGAATTCAAGGAATGCTTGAGTTCCTATGTTAGTGAAAAATTTTATCTGTGTCAGTCTGACTTTCTTACCTAATGGATTGGCACCTCGAAACACTGCTTTCAAATCCTGTTGAGGCATATGTGGAAGAGATTCGATATATTTTCTTGCCTAGAAATAAGTCAATACACATACCGTATCCAGAGGGTTAAATATTGCTCAACAGTAACCACATCAACTCTAAAAAACCAGACATTATTTTGATGTTTCTTATACATGGGAAATCCTCTTTACATAAAACCACATGTGTGACCTTGTTTCAAACACCTGCTCCTGTATACTGGACAATAAGCAAGGTATTTTTAAGCAGGCACATTTTGGTTTAAGGCTTGAGTGTTAGTACTTTAGTTTTCACCTGTGCTTTTACTGGTTCATTGCAGTATATCCCCAGGGAACACATGCATGTAATGCTCAATCAGAAACTGCACCCTAAATCATCTTTCAGTCACCCTCAGCAAAGTGGCATATTTCAACCTGCAGCCTTCCTTCCTCTCTCTTCTCTGGCGAGATGTAGCTTCACTAACCAAAGAACAAATTCTGATACTCCATGGGAACAGCTTTTCAGATGTTTAACAGAATTCAGACCTTGCCTTTCCACTGTGGCTGTGAAAGGCTCATCCAAACTGAGCTAGTAAAAGCCTGCCTGGATATAGGACCCACAAATGTCAGCCTGACACTACATGAACTAGGAATTTTTAGGCTGAGGTAGATAGGTTGGCAAGAGGTTGCATACTTGGATCAGAAAGAACAGGGAATTCTGAAAATGAATTGTCAAAAAAGAAGCAGGTGACTATTCCTTAAACCCATAAAAAACTTCAGCTGGTCCTTGGACAAATCCTAACCTTTTTAAAATGTGTTTGTCTTACACAAACGTCTCTCCACATTTAGCAGTCCTGTCAGGACACTATCTGCAGAAGGCTAACTAAGCATCCTTGGCCTATAGAAAACAGCAACTAATCAACAACTAATCCTAACATGACTGAACAAGATGCACTGAAAATTACCTCCAACCTTGCCCAGAAATCCTCTGAAAACAACACAGACCTATCAAAGTTAAATTACTAGGCTTTCCCCTCTGCTTATATACTCACACAGAAACCTGACCAAGAGAATCCCAATGTTTAAATTATTCTGAAATTCAATTACCATTTAAACTCATATTAATGTGAAACACTGACAAAGACCTCGGTATCTTGTGCTGAAACATCCAAGGAGGTTGATCTTTTAGTTTCCAGTTCTTTAATCCTGTACTTATAACTGAAAATAGACTTGGCATTTCAGCAAATCTCTGACATTGCTGTTACAGGAATGTTAAAAAATTGTCCATGTCTGCAAGCTGCATTAAGAAACACTTAAACAGTAAGGCCAAACTACATGATAAAGAAGAACTAGAATGAAGAAACTCCCTTGCAGCTGGAAATTACCTCCAAGCAAGGTATGCCTTCTCCTTTGACATTGCTCCTCTAATCAGGTAGCAGCAGCCCAGAGAAAACGTAGCAGGACTCTTGTTCATTAACCTGGCTTTTGTGTTCTGCCTGTGCTCTAAAGGTACAATTAGCCCAAATAAAATAGTTTCAGGATTCCTGTACCTCACTGAGGTATGCTCTGAAACACAAGAAATTAGAAGAACAAAGCATGTACTATTTCCAGTAAGTATTTAGGGTGTTACTCTCACAATCAAAAAGCTCACTGGTTGTGGGTAAATAACACATTTGTATACACCACTGTGAATGTGTTACAGCAAAACCTGCAGGATCCTAATAACACATGAAGGGTACAAAAGGACCTGTGAGACTATACAAAGATCTATGTTTGAGACAGCATGGTCTGAGATTTGTTGGTTGATGCAGTGCCTGGCAAAAGGATGGATGCTTAGCTAGCCTCCTGCCCCAGCCATTCCTAGGTGCTGGGTACCCAAAAACTGGGACTGTCTATTGGCCTGTGATGATGAGGTTTCATTATGCTTGGACCTTCCAGAACTAAAGGGTTGCTCTGTCTCTCCTACTGCTCCTGCTTACTTAACCTGCTAGAGTATTCATTAGCAAGGTCAAAGGAAACCTGTCAATATACACACAAGCTGAGAAACAGCCATTAATATTAGTCTGAGGTGTATACAGAAGAGGTTTAAGAAAACAGCTGCAGCTCAGGAGGTATCTGTGTGCTGGTGTCTAGCTGAACTCTTACACTGTGCCCGTCACCTGTCTTTATCAAACAATACTACACCTCATTCCTCATCTGGCTATCCCCAGTTACTCTTACAATGAATCTTTTAAGTGTCACTTTAGCAGAGAAATTAAGTGGAAATTGTTCATTTTCTAGATAACTATTTTAAAGAAGGCACATGGAAAGTTAAAAAACCCACTCTTAACTACAAACATGAAGAAATTGGACCTCACACATTTAGAGAGATGAATAAAATTATTTTCAAATTATGGATCTAAATAGAGCACTCATGCAGAACATATTATTTGCTTCAGATACATCTCTGTCTAGAAGCCTTACAACAATGGAAAGCATAAAAATTACAGAGACATCAGGTTTAATAGCAACAATATAATGCTCTGAGCTGAGCACTGGTTTGAATTTTTTAAATTATATGAATAATTTAATTATAAGCCATTTAAAAGATCATCAGGAGTAATTTCTTAACTCTTCACAAAAACTGAGTACATGAGAACAAGTATGAAAATTTATCCAGGTGACACTCAAGGCATCTGGATGCCTCCAAAAGCATATCTTTAGAATGGTGGCATTCTAGCAGCAAAACCCAGATATCATTTTAAGGTATTCATCTCCAAATCAGAGTGTCTGTGTAACAAAAGCAGTGATATACAATGCCAGTTAGAGAAAGAATGACAGGAAGTCAGTTAACTAGATGAAGCTGTGAACTCACATGTTCTGATGATATCTTCTTCAGAAGTTCTGAACTGGGCGTGCCCACAACTTCCATTATTCTCTTTAGTTGATCAATATCTGCATAATTTCAGGGAAATAAACAGCACACCGTCCTTCTGGGTTTAAACAATTAATGAGCTTCCATGCATTTAACTAAGACACTTAAAACCATTCAGCAAGACAATTCCACCATGGCTCATGGAAGGGTATCAATTCATACCTGCTTAAGCCTAGTCCTGGAGTACCAAATTCTCTAATGTACTATATTAACTTGTTAGGTATGTCAGCTGCATGAAAAATATTACTTTTCTGTCCTAGTTCCCAATTTAATATATTCTTAAGTTTAATCTTAATAGCATATTTATGTTTCAGCGATCTGAGGGATTTCTGAAGATCAGTCTAATATGATACACAGCTCATAGGCCTAGATTACTAATCTAAAGATTGGCAAGTGAAAAATTCTCACTTGGTACCTTTAAAAATTTGTTTTATATAGGTCTCAAGATTAAAAACTTTGAAAATATTAATTTTTCATTGTCATCGTGGACCTGTAAATTATATCACATTTTTATAGAAACTCAAGATTATTTTACAGCTTTATTTAAATTGATATCATCATATAGTTGTAGACAGTATTTTATAACAACAAAAATATCTTATTTCTTGCAAACTAGGTATATTGATTTTCTAAAATACCACATATCATGTAATCAAACAGTCTGAGGACAGTCTTCTCCCAGTGATGGTGCACCTGAAGAATGCCTGTGGTTACAATAGAGACTAATGATGCTGAACACAACAGAAAGGCCAGTGGGGAGACTTGGTCTCAGCTCTCTTAAGATTATTTCAGGCAATTCTCATGTCATGATGCTTAGTATTAACAGAAGTGTTTGTTTTTTAAAGGGTTTCAGAGTAGCAACAAATGTCAATATTCAATAGAGAAGAATGTGCTTTTGTTTCTCATAATAAAAGGTTGATGTTTCTTCATTCCTTATTTTGTTTTTTTCTTCAGTTTTCTTTTACTATTTTACTGCTCTCCTCAGAAACGTCTCTTTTTTGCTCCTGCCAGCACAGGAAATGCCAATGGAAATCCCTGATGCTCCATCAGGGACCATGGCACAGTGCTGCAGAAAAGGGCTTTGTTGCTCCTGTGGCATTTCTGGAACTACTGGCTTCTTTTAATATAACAGGACACAACAGACCTATTAATTCACTTATTATTTAAAAGTTAACTCATTTGCATTTTCCGGAAATTTCAGCCTAAAAGGAGTTCTCAAAAGGAGTGTTTTGTTAAAAAAAATAGTACCTTTACTCAGCTTCAGTTTTAGCATATGTTATTTCAATAAGATCCACACATGGAAGAAATCTATCTTGTTGTAACTAAGTTATTATTTAAATACAGATACACAAAAGAATAAATGTAACTTTTTGTTGTTTAGGAACATCTGTTACTGGCTTTTATCCTACCAGTGGGTCTCACATTCAGTTGTCATTTTCACTGAACTGAAAGATTAGCAAATTGTTTATTGTTTTACAAGTTTGTTACCTCAAAACCATGTCCATAGAAACACTCAAGTCCTTAGGGGAAAAGAAGAGGAAGAATTAGAGAGTATTTTTTTAGTTGCACTTTAAGTTTTATATTAAGGATACAATCATTTCCTGGAAATAGAGCCTTTCCCTTCAATAGCTCTGCCATGATACATCCAACCGACCATATGTCAACTGCCAAAAAACAGAGACATAAATGTGCACAATGAATCAAAGAGATCCTTAAACACAGCTGCTTCTTGGTTTAAAAATATCACTACACCCAGCTGTAGCAAAACACAAGCCTTCACAGTTTACCTGTTTGATTGTAGTGCATCCAGTTTAACATAATTTCTGGAGCTCTGTACCATCTTGTTGCAACATATCCAGTCATTTCATCATCAGTTTGACGAGCTAAACCGAAGTCTAAAATCTACAGAATAAAAATAAAATAATATTTTTTAAAAAACCCTTTTACTTTTATTACAGGTCCTGATTTTCCCATTACTCATTTCTGAGTTTTCTGTAATCCCTCGCTACTGGTGAAGTAAAACATCAGCACTCTGCAGACAAGCTCATCTGCTCTCCCTGCTGTATCTATGCAGCCTCTGGTGCTGCATAAAGATATTTCCACTGCAATGAACCTGGCATTTTGTTCTCCAAGGCAGACTTTATACTTCGCCTTGAGTTCAGTTTTCCACTCACATTCATTTACTAAAAATAAACTGTATCGCTATAAAAAAAAATGAAATACTATAACAACTCGGAGTGTTTGTGTAAAATGCTAACAGCAAGTGCCAGTGGCCATTTAAGACCAAATAAACTGATCACAAATCTGCTGAATTTCTGTTGTCTAATTTTCTTAGGCATTTACTCAAATCACATTATCCTGATGCTACTAGGAGAGAAACGGATATCCTGTCTAACAATGTAAATTTAAATAACAACCCATTTGTTTTCAGTAGAACTTGCCCACCAAAACAAACAAAGGAGCTCTGTTTATGTACACAGAGGCTTGACTGCAAAGTGCTCCCCTCCAGATGCTTTCCCTTGCTAAGTTTACATTGATGGGAAATTATTTCAACTGAACTTTCCCAGCTTGATTCTTTGCTTTCTGTTGTATTCTCTGGTTAGTCAATGTCCCACTAATTATGGACCCTTGCTCTAAGAGAGACTGCCTTGAAAGGGTACCATCTGAGCCTCAGTGTGTTAAGTCAGTCATCTGAGCTAGCCAGCACTCTTCACATAGAAATGTAACATCATTGAGTATCTCCTGTGATGAGATCCAGGATTATTTATTAAGCTAATCCTTTTCATAGGGAATAAGAAAATTTCAAGAGTATAATTCAAAATTTCTCAGTTATAATCCAATTAAAAGATATAAAAAGCCTAAAGAAAAATATTAAGATATAAATAATTAAGATCTTTACTTCCAATATAGTTTAAAAGCATAATTTATTTCTTAAGTAAGGGAAGAAAAATGCATGAGGCAAAAAAGAAAAAATAATGGCACAAAACTCAAACACTAATGCCCTTATTTTTATAAAGATTTTGGCAATATTCATCCTCAACAGCTGATCCCTTCCATCAAATGTGGACACACACACACTTTCCTTTTTTTTTTTTTTTTTT